TCAGAGGACAAATACATCTGGGTACAAACCAGGTGCAGCCCAATGGGAGAAAGACACTAGTCATGTGGCCTTCTACAAGTCTGTTTACCAAGGTTGAAACAAGGGCTAAAGAAGAGGATGCTAGGGGCTCATAGAAAAAGAAACTATCTCCTTAACTGGAGGCCCTATCAAACCATTCCTCTTCTAACCTCTAAGCACCGTGTTCTTCTAACCTCACAAAGCCTTGTGTCTCCCCTCAAGCATCTCTTCTGTATGCGGGGTGTGTGTGTGTGTGTGTGTGTGTGTGTGTGTGTACACGATTCTTGGGACCCTCCCACAAACACTCTCCTTCTAGTAAGAGGCAGGCTTAGAGTGAAGTCCCTCACACATCTTCCTCCTAACAACTCTGGAGAGACATTATCATCTCCATATGGCACAGAAGGAAACTAGGCTTAAAGGGGAAGGACTGGCCCTCATCATTAAGCTAGGTTTATAACAAAATCTTGAGCCCGTGCTCTGATCCACCTAACTTGATCTCCTCCGACAAGACTCCAGCTGACGGCCATGTCAGGTCTATCCCCTTGGTGGTTCCTCCTGCCAGAGCCCCTCCAGTTCTAGATGTGCACACCAGCCGCTCCTCCCACCTCCACAGATCTCTACCACAGAAGTTCTCTTCCTAGCACATGAGTCATGGGCAATCCTTAGCCTACTTTATCCCAAATCTACACTCAGGTTGCTCTCTCCAGGAGATCCTACTTCTGCCAAACAAGTTAATACCCTGTGTCAATCCCGACTCTTGCCTCTTTTCAGAGAAATATTACAAACGCTGAATGCCAAATTCCTTTGTACTACTCTTCAGCCCCTCAAACCCTGTTCCCCAGTCCTGATAGAAAGCTGCGCTCTTATAACTCCAAATTCACTTTCTTCTGTACTATTGTCTTTTCTCAAGACAGCTGCAGATCATCTAGGCCAACTCTTACTCCCATAATCCCACCTCCTTACTGCGGCAGAGGTTTTCCACTACTCCCTAAGCAACTCCCCCCAGGGGGGCAAGTAAGTAAATGCTTCTGGGAACCAGGAGCCCCCTCTTGGAGATACTCAACCCTAGAAACACTCATCCCACTCCACCCTGGGGCCCCAGTCAAGTTAAGTCAACAGGTTTCCTTTCTTTTTTCACACCCTACATGCTTCTCCCTCCCCATCTGCTAGACCAGTTACACTCTTTCCTTGCTGGACATAAGCAATCTCCCCCACATATTTCATCAACTTCAGAGTCTGATCCCACCCAGGTACCCCTCTTCTGTCCACAGCTATTGCAGTAAAAAAAAAAAAAAAAAAAAAAATCAGCAGTAGCCACGGATCTGTGCTCAGAGCCTTCCCTGCTCTAGACCCCCCTGGTCCTTTGTCCAGAGAAACATTCTTCCCTTCCCTGCCAGACTCCAGACATCAAAGTTCCCTGTACCTCCTCTAGAGGCCATCGAGGAGGTCCCCAGATCTCCCAGCAACAAATGCTGAAGCTGCACCCGCCTCAAGGTTGGCCTTCCAGCCCTGGAAGAGAGATGTTGATCCCCTATAGTTCAATCACCTGCTGGTCTCCCACTGCCCCTAGAAACACCCGAGAAACCCCTAGCAAAACCCAAAAGCGCTCAGTCCATCAGACTCCCCAGGGAAGGTCACACCAGCGCCTACACCTCACCAACGCACTTCAAAACCTTATACGAGAATTTCTCGGACCCTACCCAGCCACAAACTCCACGATCCTCCGTCCTCAAAACTCCGCCACCCCGGGTAGTTCCTTCCTCAACCCCAGGTGTGTGTGGGGGAACCACGGCTCCCAACGCCCAGCCAATCTGGGCCAGCACGGCCACCAAACCCACCCAGCTTGCGATCTAGGACCACCATTTCCGAGATAAGCCTCCCATTAAAAAATAAAAAGCCCCTTGTTCTTCCGACTTTCTCCGGTTCCCAAACGCCGGTTTCCGGTCTGAGCCCGCGGCCCACAACCCTCCCCAGCGGTCACACCCTGGTCAGCTCCGACAGCGCGAGCCCCCACCGGGGTTATCTCCCCGCATGAAAGGCAGGACCCCCTCCGGTCTTCCCGAGCCCGAGTTCCCAGATCTTCTGCAGCGACAGGTCGCGGGATCCGAGGTCCCCGGCCCCGGCCCCGGCCCCGACCTCCGGCGCGGACTCCCGCGTCCCACAGCCCTTCCTCGGCCCAGACTCCGGGCTCCCCGGCCCCCGCCCCGCGCACTCTCACAATGTCCGTCCGGCCCCGAGTAGCCGCCGGGCTCCGGGTGCGGCTGCAGCCCGGGCGGCGGTGGCTGCGCGGTCCCCTCCAGCTCGGAGCCCCCCTCAGTCTCGACCTCCTCGTTGTTGTGCCCGGGTCGCCCCGGTTCGTCGTCGGCCTCGAGCTCCCGCTCGTCGTCGGGGTCCTCGGCCTCCAGCGCTGCCTGCAGCCGCTCAGCAAGCTCGGCCTTCAGGCCGCGAGTGTCCAGGCCGCGGCGCTGCAGCTCCTCGCGAAGTTCGTTCACCTTCAGACGGCGCACATCCATGGCCCGGGCCCCCGGGGCGGCCCCCGAGCCCGGCCCGGCCTCCCAGGGCTCTGTCTCCCTTAAACCTTCCCCGTCAGGAGGCAAAGGGGGGAAAGGGGGGGCACACTCCAATGGCGGCGACGGCGACTCAAAATGGCCGCCACCTCCCCCCCTCTCGTGCACCGTACCATGCAACACGTGTGCCAATTGGCTAGCGTGGGGAACGACGGGAGAGGGCTCGCAATTCAGCCAATCAGAGCACGGTTTTCAAAAGGACAGTGGACAGAGGGCCCAGGAGCTGCCGGAGAGGAAGCGTTGGTCTACGTCGAACTGGAGCCGGAGCGGAGGGCGGGAAAAGGCAAGAGGTGGAGCGCGCCCTGATTGGGTTATGCCCGCGCGCCAGCAGCTGTAGGATCAAATGAAGAAAAAGGAGTAATGATTTGGCCCAATCAGCGACGAGATATCAGAATGAGCGCTCCACGGCCTTCCCTGTGCCGTCCTTTCACCAAACGAATTTCTTTGTAATACATGTTCTGATTGGCCTAAATCTCCCGCCCCTTGAGGAGTCCCAGCGGGTAAAGGCACCAGAACCAATCAAATGGCTGGTCGGCAGAAACCCCTCCTTCCTGTTGCCTTTAAGAAACCGGAAAGAGATGAATTCACAGAGGGCCCGCCCCTGCCGTTAGGGCGGTTTCAAAACAATCTGTCCACCAATCGTAGTCAATGTTCTATCTCACCAAAGTCGGTATAGATTGATGGCTGTAGGAAGGGCTAGGCAGATTGGCTATTCTTCAGAGGTTTGCCTCCCAGGTTTTGCTGTAGAGGGAGGATTCATGGAGTAGAGATTAAGCAGATATATTACTCATAAATTCCTAGGAACTCCGCTGCCTTTATGAAAAGCGAAATTTTAACTTTAGAGAGCCCTAAAGAATTGAAAATAAAGGCTAGAATAATAACAGGAGAAAAGCTGTATAGGAAACCGCCCCTTTCGCTTCAGTAGTACATCTCTCAGGGCGGCTCTTCCCACGAGCCTAGGTTCGCGGCCGGCTTTCTCTATGGTCGGTTCCTAACGCGGACTGGGCTCTCTGCGCGCGATCATAGAGCTTTGCCCTCCGAAAGAGTGACAGAAGTTCGCCGATCTCCATCCCGAATCCTCTAAACTGCCTTCAGTAGATCTGGCTGCTTAGTGTCTGTACCGACAAGCAAAAATACAGGTTCATAATTACATCTCACGCGAATACACACAAACGTCACCATGTCTAAGGCTGCACCACCTGTCGCCTCTAACTCTGAAGACAAAACTTCTTTGAGATGTACAACTGAAATACACAATTCAGGGCTGGGAGGTGGGTAGCTAAGCGGGACAGCGCTTGCCTAGCATGAACGAGGCCCTGGGTTCCATCCAAGCACCGCAAAAAATTAAAAAAAATAATAAACAACTTCACAATGCAGAAGCCCCCTGCCTACTGAGCCATACATTAAGTCCACAAAAAAGGCGAACACAAGCACCTCTACTTAGACAAAGGTGCACCCCACAGAAATACAACAATAGGCGTGAATCACATCAGTGCAAAAGTCGCGATAATACACCAAACTGCAGGGAGATGCGCCCGTTAATGCCCGCGCAGGCAGGCAGCATCGAATGACAAAGACACGCAGGACAGTTACACTACAAGCTTACACGACAGTAACCTAAACACACAGCATCCACTCAGCAGCGGGACAGACACTCACGTGGGCCCAGAGGTTCCAGTCCAGACACCCCGCCCCTCGCCCACGTCCGACTTCCTTTCTCCTCCCAGCTCTGCACAATGATCTGTTCTAAAACTTTGTGGCCCGGATTGAACTGTCCCGGGTTCCCAGGAGCCGCCACCGGGGGGCGTCCGGGCGCTGCCGAGGGTTCTTCCGCGCGCTGCTGGACACACCCAGGACCAAGTGCGAAAGCCTGAGGGACCCTTTGTGGGTCTGTGGATTGAGGGGTTGGTTCTATGCCTGTTTCTGTGTGAGTCTGAGTGTGTGTGTGTGAAGACCTTTGTACTCCATGTCTCTGACTGTGTGTTATTTTATCCTGTGTCCCTGTTACTCAAATTTCTTCCTCTTCCCAGTAGGTATTTGCCTGGGCGCACGTTTGTAAATAAATTTGTTTCTGTGTGGTCTTATGTGTCTGTGTTACTCTGTGTGTTCCAGTTTCTATGTATTTGTTCTTGTAACCAGCTGTGCCTGAACATGTAGATTAATTCATATGTGTTGTTACTTTGGTTACTTTGCCCTGTATGCGACACTGAATATGTATCTGTCTGCCTATTCCTGAGTAGGGTTTTCTTCTAGCCTGAATTTCTTTGCTTGTGGGTGTTTTGTCTATTTGTATGTTAATTTTTACCCTCTCTAGTGAGAATTCCCAGACCTCACCAAACTCTTTCACTAATAGGAAACCAAATTACCAGGGGGAAGAGCTACAGCGTGGCTGAATGGAAACAAGAGGAGACGGAATAGTGACTGACAAAATTTTATGTGACCAGAGCCCCTCTAGAGGCACCAGAGTCCACATTATGTACAAGGAAGATGAGGGACTGGCTCAAAAGGGCAGCAAGGCCCTAAGGAGGGAGATGGTCCATTCCCTGGGGGAAAGGAGGCATCCCTAATTGCATTGCACAGGCTTGAGGGAGGCGCACCCCCACATGAGGGGAGGAAGGAGTATAGGTGACTAAGATGGGAACCAGTTATAACCTTTGGGTTAGAACCTTGGAATCGTACCTACTGTTCTAAATGTGTGGAAGCTTGGAAATTTAGAACATTTGAATCTCAGCCTTTTAGTGCCTTCTAGTGCCTTAAGCTTTTAGAAATGAATATTCTTAGACTTTTAGTTGTAACCTAGAAATGCAGAGTACAGCATAGAACCTAGAGGTGTCCAACATTAGAAATGATTAGAATTTTGGTGTTTAGTCACAGTTGTGAAAGTCTTATAATTTAGGTGCTTGGGATCCAGAATTCTGGATCAATGGAATCTTACAGTGCCTTTAAACATAAAACAGGCTGACATTAGAATCTTAGAGTTTAACAATCTAGAATCTTGGGGCATATGACCTAGAATTTCAGAGAATCCAGGTTCTTAGATTAAGTTTTAGAATAAACATCTTAAAACATTAGACCTTAGAATCTTTAGACTCTTAGAACTTTTGAATTGCAGATTGTAGAATCTTAGACCTCTCAAAGATAGTATTTCATACAAAATCCATGATCAGAGAGCCTCAGAAACTGCAATTGACTGTCATTAGGATCTTAGAACTCGAGAAAATAAAAATATGAAGGCTTATGATGCACATTCTTATAACCAGGATATCTAGAGTCAGCCTTTGACCATCAAATTTTAGAACAGTAGGCCTTAGAGCCTCCATGTCTAGAATGATAGAATCTTTAGAATTGTAGAATCTAAAGTCTTATGACCTAAGGACTCTGAACTTTAGCAAAATAAAATCTAGACTCATAGAGTCTTAAATTCTAGAACTAGAATCTTTAGCTCTAAACCTAGAATCTTGGGCCCTTATCAAGAATCTTAGCACACCTGTAGTCCCAGTTACTTGGGAGGCTGAGGTGGGAGGGTCACTTGAGCCCAGGAGTTCCACAGCAGCCTGGATATAGAACCGTAGCACTTTGGAGTTTGGGACTGGAACTTCAGGTCCTTAGAACCAAAGATTCACAGCAACTTTGACACCTAGAAGCTTTGATATAGACTGTTTAGGCCTTCGAATCTAGAATCTTGGACTGTCAGATCTGGGAGGACACTTACGTGATTGCACTCCAATCATATCTTTGTTTTGAGACTGAGTCTTGCTACAGAGCCCAACTGGGCCTGGAACTCTCTATGTTGCCCCAGCTGGCTTTGAACTTGGCAATCCTTCTGCCTCAGCCTCCTGAGCTCTAGGATTACAGGTCTACACCACCATGCTCAGTGCAGCCCCTTCTTATTATGGAGTAGGATGCTGTGGTGCAGAGAAGGGGAAGGTTCTATCCAGGATGGAGGTGGAAAGGGTAGGAAGATAAGGCTGTAGCTGGGGACAGGCCTGGAGTGGGGAAGTGGGCGTGGGGGATGAGGTTTCCCCAGTGGCAGTGCCTAGCTTGGATCCTGAGAGGGAGTCCCAGGTGGAGGGTTGTCTCAGGCTCCCTCCTCCTGCCCTGGAGGTGCTGAGCAACCCCTGTCAGCAGGCAGAGTGGGGCCAGGGGCTGTAGAAGGGCAAAGGACATAGCGTCCGGCAGGATGGACCTCAGCTGCGGTGAGGCAGCTACAGGAATCCTTTGGGTCAGGCTGGGTTGGGGGGTCAGCTCCTCCAGCAGCTCCAGGAGGTTCAGGATGACCTCCGCCCTCATCCATGTTGACGTAGAGGATTTCATCAGGCTCCTGGGCAGGGGACAGGGCTTTCAGTGTATTCTCCAGATCTTCCCGCAGCTCTGTAAAACTTGGCCGGTCTCGGGGGTTCAGCTCCCAACACCGGGACATCAGGACATACCTAAGGCAACAAAGTGAATGGTGGGAGACTGCCCAGGGGCTCAGAAGGGAGCATTCTGGAAGTTGGGGGATATTTTAGGACATTTGGAGGCTGGGGGTTAGAGGTAACCTCCAGAATTGGAGGCATCTAGGGGGTTTAGGTATTCTCAAGAGTTTCTGAGGGAGCCTTGGGGGAGACTCAGGAGCTAGGAAGAGATCTCTGAATCTGGGGTATTGATCTAACAATGGTTTGTTAGGGCAGATCTTCCCAAAGTGACCTCCACAACTAATGCTAGCATCAAAGCTAGCGTTAAAGCCAGGTTTTAAAATACGTCCATAAAGAATTTTGCGTTTTGTTGTGTTTTGTTTTGTTGAGACAGGGTCTCTGTAAGTTGCCCAGACTGGTCTCAAATTTGCAGTGCTCCTGCCTCAGTTTCCCCAGTGCCACCATGCCTGGCTATTCCATAGAGTTGATGATGCTCCTCCCTCCAAAAGGTGGAGGCTAAGGGCCCTCTCCTGAGTGCAGGTGGAACTCCGAGTCAGCAGAAATGAAGGTGTGCGTGATTCTGAGGCTGGGCCATAAAAGGCATCGCAGCTTCCTCCTCAAACTTTCTCTAGGTTCGTCATGCTGTGGGGAAGCTCAAGCAGCACTACAGAAGGGGCCACATGGTGAGGGCTCTGCAGCCTCAGCCGTGTGAGTGTGCCACCTTGAAGGCGATCTCCCAGTCCCAGATCTTCAGATGACTGCAGCTCGGCTGACATCTTGACTGTCATCTTGTTAGAGACCCTAAGCCAGAATCACCCCACTAAGTGGTTCCCAGATGCCTGACTTTCTGAAGCTGTATGAGAAAAGCCAATGTTTGTTGTGTTGAGCTACCAGATTTTGGGGTGTAGATAACTAATACAGCCACTGTGCAACATCTGTCAAGTAACTCATCCTCCCTGTGGGCCTTGATGATGACATCTATATAGCGCTATGGCTGTGGTAAGGATCAAATGAGCTATATGCAAAGCACCTAAGAAAACTGCCTTCTGGTAAGGTCTATACAATACCAGCTGTAAAGGTGGGCGTGGTGGCACACGCCTGTAATCCCAGCGCTCTGGGAGACTGAGGCAGCAGGATTTCAGGTTCGAGCCCACCCTGGGCAATTTAGTGACTGAGGGAGATACTGTTTCAAAATAAAAAATAGAAAGGACTGGGGCCATAGCTCAGTGTGAAGGTCCTGAATTCAACCCTCAGTACCAAAACAAAACAAAACAAACAAAACAAAACAAAACAAAACAAAACAAAACAAAACCCCCATTCATATAGTCCATTATTTCTGCTTCCCTCAGCCCTTGGAATAGCCAAGGGGGAGTGGGGAGATTGAAGCCCCAGGCTGTTTCCTCTTGACCCAAGTAACACTGTGTCTCTAGCCTCCAAGGGCTAGCTAAATGTCATGCCCTTCTCTGCACGCTGTGATACAGCAAAGGTCGATAAGCTCATCCTGAAGGGTTCCTGAAAACAGCTCAGAGGAGTCCTGAGAGTGGAGAAGATCAGGGAGACAGATGGGAGGGTTCTGCAGACTCCAGAGTGTTGAGGCACCTCAACGGGAAGTGTGGGGTGATCAGGATGAATTAGAAGTCTTCCACACTGGGGGTCTCAGAGGCAGGACCATCAGGGAGGGTTGTGCAGTTGTTCACTGCCCAAGGACACCTGGCTGAGGAGGGAGGGGACAGATCTAGCTTGTGTTCCACATAAGACAAAGCAGGACAGGTCTTAACTGCACTGGCTGCCCAGGAATGGAGCACTGGTGAAGGGGCAAGGGGGCTGCTGAACATCCTGAGGGATCCCATGCAGGGTCCCGGAGATGTGAGGGCCATGTGTGGGTGCCCAGGACTTTGGGGGTGGATTCTGGGGTGAGGAGGCAGGTTCGAGAGGTCCTCACAGGCCATCCAGACAGTCCACAGGCTGCTTCAGGCGATTCCCCTGGCGCAGGTAGTCATAAATCTCACTGTTCTCCACTCCGGGATATGGTGTTTGGCCCCGCGTGGCAATCTCCCACATTGTCACCCCGAAGGACCACTGTGAAGAACAGAGGGGAAGTATTAGTCTCTTCTACACAAAGACACCCCCACCTCAGGTTCACAGGTACACTCCCACTCTGGTGCCTGTGTGCACAGCCGTCCCAGCGGGTACACCACAGTTGTCTATAGAAATACTCTGGCACAGGTACACACACATGTGGGTGACCTTTGTGGGTGCATAGACACGAGCATCCATGAATATATTCACACACTTCATGGCTACATGATCTCATGTGTCACCCTCCATGCTGGCTGCATACCATGTACAAGTGTGGGGATATGCGTGCATGGTCACCACTGCTTTTCCTAACTAGGCTGTCCACACTGCCATCATGCACCTGAAAGTCTGTGCACATCCCTGGCTTGTATACACCCCTGTTCACAGATACCCAGCACGTCTCCAAAGGTGCCCAGACCACATAGGCTCCTGTTCGGAGAAGCCCACATGTTCCCAGGAGCCCTGCACCTGCAGCCGCCTGGGAATGGTATGAGATAGGCTACTCCCACCCCCAGAGCGCCCTGTTCTCGGTGGAGGTGCATGTACCACATCACTCTTGCTGGTGTAGACGCGGTCAGCTAGGCTCTCAATGGCGATCCACTTGACTGGCATCTTGGCAATGCGACCCTGGCGGTAGTAGTCTCCATTGTAGATCTTCTTGGACAGCCCAAAGTCCGCCACACACACAGACATGTTCTCGTTCAGCCTGCCCGGATTGAGGGGGAACAGGATCAGGGCACTGGCAGCCTCCCCCAACAAGCCGGCCTGGGCTCTCCGGAGCGCTTCCGCCTCCTGCCCTTGCTGTCCTGCCTGTGGCTGGGATCTGTTCCCTGCACTCTCACCCAGCCCCAGAAGGAACTGTTTTACTTCTTGTTCCCTCAGTAAAACGAGGGTGGGACAAAGGGCTTCTAACAGCCTTCCCAGCTGTGGCTTCTTGCCAGATTCTAAGGTCTTGCTTAAGCTCCTTTGGTTTAATTTCCTGATTTGTGAAAAGTTTTCTCAAACTATATGATATATATATATGTATATATATAGTAAACATATCATGTATATGCATATATATACTATCTATAGTGTATGTATATGTGTATATTAATGTGCACAGATCATAAATGAATTTGAATTTTCACAAACATACCCATGTATCCTGAACCTGGATTAAGAAACACATCTTAAATGTAGGACTTTCAACAAGACTACTGGCCTTGCCTCATCCAAAAGACTATGTCATAAAAATATAAAAAGGTGATGTTGTGGAGGCGGCGGGGGAGGGGTACTCCAGATTAAACTAGACCAAAGGGGTATAACGACTAAGTGCAATTTGGAAGTCTTCATTAGGTCCTGGTTCAGGGGAGAATTTAGTTATAAAAGACAATTTAGAGTACAAGTGGAAAAATTTGAATGTGGATTGGATTATGTTACACAATCAGGACTAGGTTTCCCAGGTATGATAAATGGATTGGGATAAAGTAGGAGAAAGTTCTTATTCTTAGGAGCTGCCTACTTAAGATTTAGAGGTGAAGTGCCCATTCATTGGATCCTTGATTGGTTACCTCTGAAATCGGATGTGTTCCTATGGAAAGAATTCAGTCAGGCTATCTACGCACCCACCTAGCAAGACTAGAGAAAACAGATGATCTCAAACAGTCACAGGGAAATTCCTCAGCAACACTAACCTACACTGGGTTGTCAACTGTTTTCACATCTAAAGCAATAGCGGACTTAACTGCCATCTCACCCACTTTGTAGAAATGCCCATTGTGGGATTATAGAATCCTGATGGTGATATCCATGTGAAATAACCAAAAGATGCATAAGCAAACAGAGGTTCTAATTTAACAATTGACATGACAGGAATTTTTAATAGGAGAGAGAACCTACAACTTTGTTTTGGAAATCTTTCCCGCCAGATAAGGGCTTTCCCTCTTATCATTTACAGGGCCAGGTAGATTAGGAGATAGGAAAAGGGGCAACTGGAGACCTAGGACCTTCCATGTACTCCACAAAACTTATCTGAGCTCGATCATAACACTGTCAAGTTACCATGATCTCAATAAAGGATTTCTGTTTCTGGTTTGTTAAAAATAAAGCCCTGGGGGCTGGGGATTTAGCTCAGAGGCACAGCGCCTGCCTGGTAAGCGCAAGGTTGTGAGTTTGATTCCTGGTACTGGAAGAAAAACAAAACACAAAAAACAAAAAACAAAAAAAATAAAAAATAAAAGCCCTGATACATTTTTATTCTTTCAAAACAAATAACAAACAAACAAACAAACACTTAGGGATGAAGTGTCACTATTTCATTAACTTACTTGTATATGGCTAGGGGGAGGGAGGAAGACAGAAGAGAAATGTGACAAAATGTCAACAAGGGAGAATCATATGCCAGTTCTCTCAACTTATTCAGCGCTGTAATTTCTTTCTCTCTCTCTCTCTTTCTTTTTTTTTTTTTTGGTGCCAGGAATCGAACTTAGGACCTTGTGCTTGCCAGGCAGGCGATTGTGCCATGAGATACATCTCTGGCCCTTGTAATTTCTCAAAATGAAAAGTTGAGAGAAAAACCATTTCCATTTCTATATTATTGAGAGTTCTGAACACTGATGCTCTGATTCTCCAGCTGTAATTTCTGAGTCTGAGATTGACGGAGGGGAGGGGTGCTGGGGGTTGAACCTAGGACCTTTGCACTGAGCCGCATCTCCAAATCTTTCTTTTTATTTGGAGACAGGGTCTCACTGAGTCACTAAGTTGCTCAGGTTGGACTCAAACTTGCAATCCTCCTGCCTCAGCCTCCCAGAGTGCTGGGATTACAGGTGTGTGCCACAGAATTAATATTCTAAACCTGCGGTTCCACTCCCTGCATCTTCCTCTTATCCCTGACTCCATGAGGAAGGCACTCAGCAGGCAGGAGACAGAAGTGAGGCTCACATGTTACTACCCTGCCAGGCACCTTTGCCCCTCTGCTCACCTCTCATCATGCACTGAGGCATCCCCCACCCCATCCCTTCTTCCTCCACACCCAAATACTGCTTGGAGATCTCAGTTCAGGGCCCCCTCCTCCAGAAAGCCTTCCCAGACTCCCTTGCTGATCTTTCTACCCCAGTTCTGCGTTCCGGGTGCAGTTTCCCTATCATCCTGGGAAGGAGGGAGGGGTTCCCGGAAGGTTTGGCACTCACATGCAGTTCCTGGCAGCCAGGTCCCGGTGTATGAATCTCTTAGTACTCAGGTACTCCATGCCGCTGGCGATGTCTGTCATGAACTTTACCAGCATCTGAGTGGGCAGGAACTGGGGGCCAAGGCAGGGATGAGTAAAGATCAGCAGAATCCCCAAGGTCCATCCCTGCTCATTCTTCCTTCCCTTCCTGTGCTTGTCTAGCCCTGCCTGCAGTGATTTCCGGTGACTCTGAGAATTAAATCCAACCCCTTTCTGTCCTCTGTAAGGCCTTATATAATTCACTCTTGCCTTCCTCTCTGTTTGATCTCCTAATGCTCTTGCCCTTGACATACATTCTGGCCAGGGGCCTCCTTTTTGGTCTTTGGACAGCCACCCTTGTTACTTCCGAGCCTTTCCTCTTTCTGCGACCTTGACTTGGATTGTGCCGTGTCTGGGTGGCAACATCCCACTAGCTGGCTTCTCCTTCAAGGCCACCTCCTCAGGGAGGCCTTCCCGGTTCACCCAAACTAATTCCCTGGCTTCCTTATCATTCATCCTGTGTTTCCTTCCCAGCACTTAAATGACCTTGTTGATGTATTTGTCAGCCTGTTTATTGCCTGGTCCCCTCCTGGTAGACAGGCTCCAAGCAACAAGTTCAGGGTCACCAGGATCTTCCCCGAGTCTGAGCAGGGCTGGGTACCTGATATATGCTCATTTAATACTTGCGGAACTATGATGAAATGCGCCTCACCACTGGCTGGTCCCCGAGCCGGGAGTAGAGGAGGAAACTGTGTAGGTCTCCATGCTTCATGAATGGTAAGATGACCACAGGTGCTGGGAAGCCCTCTCTTTCAGAACCCTGGAAACAGACACCTAAACCCCCAGGCAGCCAAGTCACACCCAGCTGGGCAGAAGGGGAAGCCAAGCTCCCTCCCAGCCAGACTTAGCCTCTCCTCCTCCCTCCCCTTTAGAGCTAACTTTCACAGGGCAGGGGTGTGTGTGTGTGTGTGTGTGGCAAGGGCGGAGCTTCAGAGAAGCCCTTTCTAGCAGACTTCCCAGGGATGCTTCCGGAGTCCTCCTGGGGACCTCAGCCATTTCTGGGAATGGTCAGAGGTCACATTCCAAGTTGAGGGAGACGAGGAGGGGGAACTTGCTGGTGTTGAAGAAGGGAGCAGGGGCCTGTATGTTTGATCGTCCCAGTGCTGCTGAGGAGAGGTGGAGAGGTCGTCCCTCTGGTGTGGCCCCACGGGAATCTGTCCCCGCCTCACCGATAAGCCTCATGACGTTGGGGTGGTCGAATTCCTTCATGCAGACAGCTTCGCTGAGGAAGTCCTCCAGCTCTGATCTCGTGCAGATGGCAACTTGGGGAAGAGGAAGGTGGATGAAGAGGAAAGGAGGGAGAGAGGGTGCTTTTCCTTCTCCTCTCCCTCTCTACCCTCGCCATGGTCATCAAACATGTTTGCTAAGCCAGCCATTGTGGTGCACACTTAAAATCCCAGCACTCTCTGGGAGGCTAAAGCCCCACTTAGTGACTTAGTGAGACCCTGTCTTGAAATAAAAAACTTAGCGCGAAGGCTCCAGATTCAATCCTCAGTGCCAAAAAAACAAAAACAAAAACACGAAAACCCCCAAGAAGATTAGAAAATACCAGCTTCTATACTTTAGAGCTTTACTTATATTAACTCATTTAATCATCTAAGGTGCTTCAATTATGAAGCACCGAGTATTACTTATTTATTTACTTATTTATTGTTAGTTTTCTGAGGCAGGGTCTCACTATGTAGCTCAGGCTGGCTTGAACTCACTATATAGTCCAGGCTGGCCTCAAACTCATAGGGATGCTCCTGCCTCAACCTCCTGAGGGCTGGGATTACAGGCATGTGCCACCATGCCTGGCTATGAGCCCTATTTTATTTTATTTTATTTTTAAAAAATTTATTTATTTATTTGAGACAGGTCTTGCTATATAGTTCAGGTTGCCCCTGAACTCACTAGGTAGCCAGGGTGGCCTCAAACTTTCAGCAATCCTCCTGCCTCAGTCTCTAGAGTGCTGGGATTACAGGCATGTGCCACCCCGTCTGGTTATGAGCTCTGTTTTAAAGATGAGGAAGCCAAACCCAAAGGCACAAAAAAGTCAAGGAAACTACTTAAGAGCACACACGCTTGGAGATGAATAGGCAGAGTTGAAAGCCAGGGCATCTAGCTCTGGGGACCATGTGCTCACTATCATGATGGCTGCTTCCCAGTACTTCTTCAATAACTATGGGCACCCAGATGATGATTATGATCCCATTTTACAGCTCAGGACACTGGCTCATAGAGTTAGAGTAGCCTGCTCAGGGTCATATGGCTGGGCTTAAAATCTAGGCAGAGAACATAACCTGACAGGCAAGGGTGCTCAGTGATGACTCCACAGCCCGGGCTTCTTTTTCTTTTTTTTCTTTTTTTAGTACTAGGGATTGGACCTAGGACCTTCATGCTGAGCTCCATCCCCAGCTCCATTTTTAACTTTTCATTTTGGACAGGGTCATGCCTAGGTTGCTAAATTGCTCAAGTTAGTTTCGAACTTGCTATCCTCCTGCTTTAGCTTCCCAGGATGCTGGGATTAAAGGTCTGTACCACCACAGGATCATTACCCCCAAGTTTTTAAGCCATGTAATTCAGAAAGGATCATTTTTCTCCCTCCAGCCTCAGTCTAAACCTCTTATACTTCTTTATATGGAAGGACTTGGACCTGGGCTTTATGCGCTGGGTGACTCTGGACTGGCTTCTACCCTCTCTGATGATGTACATAATGTAGCAGTAATTCACATTAACTTCAGCTCCAGCACTAAGTGCTTTGCCTCACAAGAGCCTTAGAAAGGAGAGACAGTATAAGCATTTTTTTCCAGACAAGGGAAGGAAGGCTCAAGGAGAGAGAGTCACTTGTTGGGCTCCCACTGCTGGTAAATGAAACCAGATGTGCCTTATTCTGAACCTACCCCTGCTCTGTTATGTATCACAAGGGGTTGGCTCCTGAAAACTACATTTCCCAGGATCCCTCCCCTAATGGTTTCCTTTTGGGGTTTGCCGGTGATAGGCAAGATGAGATACTGGCAAGCGGGAAAGAGGAGGGGAGAAGCCAGGATATTTCATCCCCTTTCTGCTTCTGCAATTGCCTTGGCATGGCTGAACGTCCCTTGTTCTTACTCCGACAGGGAGCTCTTATTCTGTGTTCCCAACTTCCACCAAATGTCCCTGGCCGTGGTAATACGACTTCCTTCTTCTTCCCTGCAGACCTAGGGGTGGCAGAGGCTTCCTACTGCTGCTAACATCCAGGTTCACTCTGTCCTGGTTGTTCCTTCAGTTCTTCCTCCACCACGGCACTAATGTCCAGGTATTCAGTTCCTTCTGTTGAAGTTTTTGGCATGGGCTCCATTTCCCAGCTGGAAATGCTGGCATTCTATGCTATGGCCAATTTACCTCTCACTTCTGCTCGTCTGCCTCTTTGGGGCATAGGGAAGGGCTGGGGTCCTACATGTGTGTGCAATCATGCACAGACTCACTCTTCATTGTCTTCACAGCAACTTTGAGGATGGAGTCATCCTGGTTCAGCTGGCCCTCCATCACAGCTCCAAACTCTCCTGTAGAGGGCAGGAGGGAGACACTGACCTGAGGGGTGGGCGTCTCCACGGTGATTCTCACAGTTGGGTGAGGGTGGGGAAGTGAAGGACCTCAGAGTTCAGGAGGATATGTATGTTTGCTGGGGAACTCACCTTCCCCCAGTGTCTTCCCCAGGGCCACCTTGTGCCTGTCCACCATCACATCCCGCAGCTTTTCCTTCAGCTCTTCGCTGATGCCCAGGCTGTTCACTGCAGGTAGGGTGAACAGAGCCACGGTGTGGGGCTGACATTCAGGTGACACTTGCTGGGGGTACACCCATTGTTGAAACACCGAACTACGGCACTGGTTCAAAGTTAGCTATTGCCCTGAACATTCTAGCACCCCAACCCTAGCTCTTCCTCTGGACCCCTAAATTTCCACCACAGTAGTAACTACCATATTAAAGCCTGGCCACAATTTGCTCTGGTGTGGACTCTGATTGGTCAGCACCTTACTGTACTAGTTGTTGGATCTTAAGTCCAACACCTTAACTACTCGGCCATCCTGGTGACAGCTTATACCAGTTATTAAAAATTTTTTTTTAGAGAGGAGTTTGAAATGTTTAAGGAGGTGGAAATGCTAATAGCCCTGATTTGATTTGCATACATTGTATACATTTGTCTAATCATTCCCCTATACTTCATAAATATGTGCAATTATTATGGGTCAATTATGAAATAAAACCTCATATAAAAGGCAGCATAGCAGATACTATATTCAGCCAAATTAATGAGACATGAAAATATTACATTGATATTAAAATTTATCTTAAAAATTATTTCTTCTTATTGCTGTGTAACCTGCACAAACTGTGAACAGCTCAATGGATTTTCACAAATCCATTGTGAAATGCATCATAAATCTGAGTGTAAAACTAGCACCCAGCTCAACAGCAGCACGTGGGCTGGATGAATAGCCATTGTCTTGACCTCTCTTCCAATAGATTAGTTTTGAAAGTTATAGAGTTAGAATCATATGGCATGTTTTCTCTTGGGCTTGTTTTTTCTATTCAGCAGTGTGTCTATGAGATAGTTGTCATGTAGTTGTGACATATAGTTGAAATGTATCTATTCATTTTCCTTTGTTTGTTTTTTGTCTTTTTGAGACAGGTCTGGCTATGCAGTTCAGGCTGGCCTTGAGCTCAGTTTGTAGCCCAGGCTGGCCTCAAACTCACAATGATCCTTCTGCCTCAGCCTCCCAAGTGCTGGGATTACAGGTGTGTGCCACTGCGTCTGGCTGTAATCATTTTCATTACTCTGTAGTGACAATTCTCAAACTTGTTGACCCCTTTACATTGTAAGAATTATTGAAGACTACAAAGAGTTTTTTTTAACATGAGTTTTAGGTAGATATAGATAGATTTAGATTCATTCTACATTTAAAATTGAAACAGATCTTTAAAACACCAGAATACACAAGCACAGGTCCAGGAGCCTCAGGAAAACTCTCTTGGAAGCCCATGAGAAAAGGAGAGTGCAAAAGGGCGCATAAGGTCTTGGTATTATTACAAAAATGGTTTTGACCCCACAAACCGTGCTAAGGCCTTGGGGACCCAAGGACCCAGGAGACCAGGCTCACACTTTGGGAACTGTTACTGTATATTATTTCCTTAAATGCCTGCAATCTTCTTGGATTTCTTCCTTCTCCTCTGAAATAAATGTCTTTCTCAGGCCTTTCCAAAACCCTCCTGGGATCCTGGCAGCCTTCTTGCTGTGTGCTAGATCACGACCTAGCTCTGTCTCTTTTCCTTCTGGATTCCAGTTTTCCTAATCAGAGAGGTGAGGAAACTTCACTGGGTGGCCCCTGGAGGTCCCTCCTTATCTGGGACTCTCCAAGACTACAGTCATCAGACAGTCCATCACTTTAAGATTCTGACTGTCAAAATTGTGAATCTATGATACTGAGCATATAATTTTTCAGGCCAAGACTGATTGTCTCTCTAACATTCTATTATGCTATAGACTTCAGGGCCTCTGCCTAGGTTCAAATTCCAGCTCTCCATCCTACGGGCTGTGTGGCCTTCAGCATATCACATAACTGCTGTATCCCACAGTGTCCTCATCTTTGAAGTGAGGGGGATAACAAGGATTCACAAAATACAAATAACAGTTTAAAAAAAGCCTGTGTCCTTGGATGGCTGTGAAGATCAAATGAGATGATAATGGTTTTTTTTTGTTGTTGTTTTTTTTTTGGTTTTTGGTTTTTCTCTGGTACCGGGAACCGAACTCACAACCTTGCACTTGCCAGGCAGGAGCGTTGCTGCTGAGCTAAATCCCCAGCCCGAGATGATAATGTAGAATGTTGAGAATATCACCTGTCACATAGGAAGAGCTAGGGTTGGCCAACATTCCACCATCACCACATACTCTTCTCATCACGTATCACCACTACCAACATCGTTATCTCATCTCAACATAATCACCTTCATTATTTCTTTGTTCCAAGATCTTATGGCTCTTAAGTTCAGTGTTTCTAAGACTCGCTGTGGCTAAGATTCTATTATCTTAAAGTTCTGTGTTGGTCTACAATTTCATTGTTTCTGGGGACAGTGGTTCATCGATTCTAGTATCCCAAGGCCTTCAGAAACTTTTGTCTCATGCACTTCCAGAAGCCTAGCAAGCCTAACTTTCTTCCCCAGACCAATTCAGGGAGACACAGGGTTCACTTACAAGTGGCTTCAGTGGTCCGGCGGCTGTAGGACTTGCGGACGTGGTACCTGACTACCAGTTCACCTCTTTCCACTGTTGGTTCAAACACCTCACTGGAGGAAGGGACAGAAGATAAGGGCAGAGAAGAGTCATGTGGAACCCCCTCTTTCCACCAGGGTGAATACAAGTGTCATCCCAGATCTAAGCCCCGCTAGTCCTCTCCTCCAACATTTGCTGACATACCTAGCATTGCCACTTTCTGCCCGTCATTCATTTGCCTGGCCTCACTGTCCTTTTCATGATTCTCGGCCATTTCTCACCCTGAACCAGCCTCCCCACTGGTCTCCTTGCCTGCTGCCTCTCCCTCCCAGTCCATGGGTGCCTCTCCATGTTGTTCTAACTCACCCATAGCGTGTCTCCTTCTTCCTCCGATGGACAAGGAATAGGGCCAAGATGAGGACACAGGCAGCGGCCACAACTGCTCCCAGCAGTACATACCACCAGGGCCATGAGAAGGTAGGAGCTGGGGGTTCACTCACTGTCGGGGGCATGGAGGACAGGTCATGGCTGAGGTCTTGGCTCTAGTTCCCTGAGGCCCAGGGAGTGATGTGTGGGGGAGGTAAAGGGCGTGGCAAAAGATGCGCAGGTACGGGATAAGATGTGTGATGATGCTTTCATGTATCTGAAGAAGGGCAGGGCACGCAGTGGACATGATATGAGTTAAAGCAGAAAGAGTGAGAAACGTGTAGGATGCATATTGGAGGAGCGCGTAATAGTGTGCCGCGTGTGGGATGGGAAGGCAGATGTGTCAGAAATGGGTTGTGATTATACAAGGAAAGAAGGGTGAACATGCGGTGGGTGTGAGTAAATTGGAAGTAGCATAGGTGCATGTGTACGTGTGTAATGATCGTGCAAGGGGGGTGGATCTAGGTATGGAAGAACAAGTGAGTAGCGAAAAGAATCCCTGTGGTGTAGGATGGAATGTGAGGCACGTGCAATGAATGTGCAAGGAGAGTGAGTCTGGTGGACAAGGACTAAGGAATATCTTTGAGGAGTGCTCAACAAGCACAAACAGGTTTTCATAAAGGGAATAATGAAAGTGAGATAATGTGCAAAGGGCCATGGTGAGTGTACAGCGTGGGGTGGTGAGGAGTGTGGGGCACGTGAGGAATGAGGAGTAGCTCAGGAGCTCTAGATGCAAGGAATCAGCGGTGAGTCTTACAGGCATAACTTCAGGGGGCAAGGAGTGTGCAGTGAACACGTAAACAATGTGAGAAGGGCAGGTGAGGAATGTGGGAACAGTGTGCAAAAAGGGCAGGAGTGGAATGGAGCATGGAAGGTCACGTGTTGTGTGTGCAAACAATTCAGTGTGTGTGTGCAGAGAGCAGGATGGGTTAGTGTTGGTGAGGGTGAAGGGGTGACGTCAAAGGAATGTGGGATGAACGTGTAAGGGGAGTTGTAAGGTGTGGAATGGTTGTGTTTTTCAGTGTCTGCAATGTGGAATATACAGTGAGTGTGTACAAGGTGTGCAGAGCATGCACGTGAACAGTGTGGGTCTCCACTGTTTTAGGCGGCAGTGTGAGGAGTGAGGAATTGTAATAGGGTATACGTGAAAGGAGGGTGGGATGTGTGTGGGGCAAGCAGGTGAAGAGATACAGGAAGACATGAGAGGGTATTTAAGGATAGTGGGCTGAGTTAAAAGTGGAGGACAGAAATCGTGCTAGGAAGGTACAACGAGTATAGGAAGGATGTCTGAGAATTGCTGGAGAAATATTTGAGAAGGATGAATGTGAGGAGGATGCTCCATTCATCCATCCTTTCATCCACCCATCCACCCATCCATGCATCCATCCATCCATCCATCCACCCACCTGTGTACTGGGGCTGGATCATTCTAGGCACTTCCAACGAGGACCACACAAACCCAAGAAATAGAGCATTACAGTGGTGAGTATCACAGGCGTGAAAGGGGTGTGCAAAGACTACACATGTGTGGACAGGGCCCTCAGTGGGAGTGGAGGGGCGGGAGGGAAGAGGGGGTGTGAAAGCCCTTACCCAGCTGGTGGACTGGCTGTCCTTGCCCTGCGAGGAGAAAGGACAGAGGAGAGACTGCTCAGAGAGGGCAAGACTGGTGTGACACCAGCGAGTAAGGGAGGGAGACTCCTGGTAAGGCACAGGCAGGAACAGAGCTGAGGTTGGGGGGAACACAAAAAGGTGCAGGGAACGAGTCAGGGACATCCAGAGGAGGCGAGGTCCTTGAGGGTAGGGGGAAGGGGCTGAGCATGGCTCTGCAGGTACCTGGGCGCCAGGGCTCCAGGGGCACAGGCAGGCTCCAGGGCCCATCACCGGCCGCGGTGTAGGCTGCCACGGACACACTCAGGTTAGGTGCAGGCCGGCTCCCCCGCAGCTCCAGTGTCACCTCCCGCTGTAGCCTGACATCCATTAGCACCTAGGAGTGGAAGTGAATCAGGGAGGATCCCAGGCCCCCACATCTTAAGCCTGCATCCCTGACCTCAACTCCCCATCTCTTTCTCCACACCTTTGCCTCTTCTTCCACTCACCACCCTCTGTCTCTTCCTCTCCGTTCTTTATCTTTGCTGCTCCATCCCCAGGGCACCCGGGAGCTGTGGGACCAGGGCAGGGACTGTACGTGCCCCATTCCCCACCATGTCCTCAGTCACTTAGCGCAGCACTTGGCTATGAAGGGCAGCATGGGACTATGAAGTCAACACTAAGGAACTGAATTATCTTTCTACCATCACCCTGCCAACCCCTGCTCACCTCCCATCCTATCTCTCCACCTTGGGGTATTGGCAGCCCAGGTATCTTTGTGCAAATCAGGAGAAAGCACCCCTTCCTCAACATGCTGTACAGCTGTCTACTGTAAAATTGTTACAGTATGCAAATCTACTGAAATGCTTTTGCAATGGGTCAGAAGTAGCCATTCCCCAACCCTCCTTTGGATCCCTTAAACTCCCTAGAATATGCTTCACTAGGCATATGCTTCACTAAGTGCAACTGTATAGTCCCTAACCCGCACAACTGTACATGTCTGCCTTACCATCTTCCTCTCTCCATCTCCCTCCTCTCCCAACCATTCCACCCCAACCCTGCCAGCAGCACCCACCTCAGGGGTGTCCTGGCCTCGATAAGCCAACCGGTACCCTAACAGGGTGCCCTGTAGGGGCGCCCTTGGCTCCTGCCAACGCACGAGGGCCTGGCTCCCGTTCCGAATGGCGCTAACGTTCTCAGGGGGGCCCAGGGGCACTAGAGGACAGGGAAGAGGGGAAGCTCGCACCACATCTCTTCCTGACCCCCTCCCCTGTTCCCAGGAAGTGGAGGCGGAGCAGCAGGCACACTCCCACAACCCTCTGTGAGCAGAAGCTCCGGGGAGAGATCTGGGAGGAATGCGGGGGCACCATGGGTTGGGGGTGTTGGGGAAAGGACTGAAGAGAGGCGAGGTCACGTGGGGGAAAGGGGTGTGGAGATGCTGGGGGCACTGATGCAAGCGAGGTCCAGTGGGGCAGTGCTGACAGCCCTCCCCAGCCTCCTTACCTCCTTCCGGTGTCTCCACAGGAAGCCAGTGCGTCCAGGGTGAGGGACCCTGGCTGCTGGCACATGACACCCGGATGTGATAAGGGGTGTGAGGATGGAGGCTGCCCAGCCGAAGCTGGTGAGGGGGCACGGATGCTTGCAGGGTGAGGGGCTCCTCCGGGGGTTCTGGCTCTCCCAACCAGCTGCCCACCCCATCGTCTGACAGCACAGCCTGAGGAGAGGAAAGGGCGTGATGACAGGACGACCCTGCAGTCACATACAACAGCCACACGACTCTCAGTGGTGGCGTCCTAGCTGTGTGCATGTGTGTGTGTGTATGTGTGCATGTGTGCGCATGTGTGTGTTGATGCTACATGTTAGGATGACATGGATTTGCAAAGCAAGGAAATCATGCAGCCACATGATTTCGCACAGTCAAAAGCCGCCTCTAGCAAGCCTCTCTCTCCCTCTGCCATGGGGACTGAACCCAGGACTTTCACACTGAGCTACATCCCCAACCTTAAAAAAAAAAAAAAAAAATACCCAGGTGTCATGGTGCACACTTGTAATCCTAGCACTCGGGAGGCTGAGACAGGAGGATTGTTGTGAGTTCAAAACCAGCCCAGGCTACAAAGTGAGCTCAAGGCCAGCCTGAACTGCATAGTGAAACCCTGTCTCAAAAAGACCTAAAAAACCCAAAACAAACAAACAAAAAAAAGAAAGGAAAAAGAGAAAGGAAAAGAAATTATTTTCACAGGGTCTGGCTAAATTGCTAAACTATCCAGGCTGGGCTGGAATTGACAATCCTCCTGCTCATTCTCCCTAAGTGCTGGGATTTTGGGCACCACTGTGCCCAAATGACTTGTTTCTCTTTGAGCCTCTTCTTCCCATCTGGAAAATGGAGAATAATGTGCTCAAACGCTTTACAGGGTTGTTTAAAGATTACATGTACATGCTGGAAACCAGGTGGGGTGCTGTGCACCTGTAATCCCAGCACTCTGGAAGACTGAGGCAGGAGGGTTGCCAAGTTTGACCAAAGGTTGGGCACTTGAGCAATTTAGGAAGACATTGTCTCAAAATAAAAAATTAAAAAAAAGGGCTTGGGATGTAGCTCAGTGTGAAGGCTCTGGGTTTAATCTCCAATGCTACAAAAACAAATAAACAAACAAACCCCCCAAAACCACCCGTGTACTGACAGCATTGTGAGTCCTTCCCCAATGTGAATTCCTTTTGGAGGTTTGGGGGTTGCGAAACAAATGCTCTACCACCGAGTTGCCCTTCAAACTGAATTTACCTCTCACATCAATCCTGTTGTGCTGTGCTAAGTGCTATGCTTTCATCCACTGAACTGAGGCGCAGACGGATGGAATCCAGAGCCATCAGTTTATCACCGATGAAGAGGGAACGTGAGCCCCATCCTGTCCCCAAAGCCTCTGCTCTACTTACGGTAAGAACATGAGTAACAGCACCAGTGCCTCTTGTCTGTCCAGAGAGGCAGGGGAGCTTAGTACTAAAGAACATGAGTGCTGGGTCTCCCATGCCACAGGGTTGTGCCTCAGTTTCTTCATCTTTAAAATGGAGTGATGATAGTGGCTCCCTGCTCTGCAGGGCTTGTTTAGAAGGATGCCTGTGCATATGGAGTGTGTGTCATTGTCAGTGTGTGTGTGTGCACACGTGTGCATGACTGTATGTGTGTGTGTGTGAAGTTGCCTGGCAGCAGCTGTGCACAAAGGCACAGGCTCGAATACCCAATTGCTCCCCAGGATGAGAACCAGGATGGAGGGGGCCATATCTGTGCCACGTGGAACCATAACTGTACACCCACAGCCACACATCTCAGGAGCACTGCTGCCCAGGACCTCGCCTTTACCTTGGAGATCCCAACCACACTGCTACACAGTATGTTGGCTTGCACGGATTGGCTGTGTGACAAAAGCTGTTTCTCAGACAGCCGTGCCTATAAAGACAGCTGCACCTAAAAGAGGCTGAGGCAGGAGGATATGAAGTTTGAGTCCTGCCAGTCCAGGGCAACTTAGTGTGACTGGCCTCAAAAAAAATAAGGGCTGGAGAGGTAGCTCAGTGGTACAGTACCCCTGGGTTTGATCCCTAGTAGTGCAGAGATGGGGGGGAGTCTTAACTTCTCTGAGTCTCAATTTTGTCACTGGAAAATAGGCCTCAGAGTCCTACCGGTCAAGGTATAAAGCTTAATGACACAATGCATGTGAACAGGTTGTCATAACATAGTCTCAATAGCTAATTTTTTTGACATAGAGTCTCGCTATGCAATTCAGGCTGGCCTTGAACTCACTATGTATCTCAGGCTGGCCTCGAACTCTTGGCTATCGTCCTGCCTCTGCCTCCTGAGTGCTGGGATTACAGGTGTGTGCCACCACACCAGACAATACCTAACACTTCCTGAGTGCCAAGTGTGTGCCAAGCTCCCTGTCAAACACATTCTTGGATGAACTCACTGATTTTTTACCATACTGTATGGGCTCGTTTTCTTTTCTTATTTCCATTTTACAGATAAGGAATGAGCCGAGGCCTAGAGATGTTACAAAGCTTGCCTGAAGCCCCGCAGGCCCCAGGGAGGAGGAGGACAGCATCACATGACCCAGGGAGAGGTGGTCAGATGGTGGGCAGTGGGAGGGGATGAGGCCATCTCCATGCCTGCTCTCTGACCCACAGTGACAGATGGGAAGAGGAACCTCTCTGCCAGGACAAAGGGGAGATGGGTGGAGAGAGTGGGCTTGTGCCCATTCCCACTTCTCTTTTTCCTGGGACGGCCATGGCCCTCCTGCTGGAGCCCTTCAGCCCCAGCTCTCTCACAGCAGGAAGTGAGATCTGGAGGGGGAAGAGGACACACTTCTGCTTTCCGGGAGACCTTTGATGGATGTGGGCAGAGTGCAGCTGACGTCTGACCTGCCATCTGAGGTCTCCTGCATCAGGCCAGCCTTTGGGGTTGAATCTCAGCTCTACCCTTCGAGCCATGGGGCTGGGACAGGTCTCTTCCTTTCTCTGGGTCTCAGTTCTTACTTTCAAAAGGGCAAGATGAACAGCTTTTGTCTCCTACAGTGAAAGTGGCAAGCAGATATGCCCAGGGCGTATAAGTCTAAGAAACGGTTTCTGGGGTTGAGGGTGCAGCTTAACGATATGACAACTGCCTGAACGTGTGAGGCTCTGGGTTCCATCCCAGCACCACATAAACAAAACAAAATGGAAGGAAGACAAACTGGTTCCAAATGTTCTCCATGAAGTCAGGAGCACCTTAGTTTCTTAATATAGAAAATGGGTCTATCCAGAGACTGTCCTTCACAAACACAACGGAATGTGCAAAAGCCATAAGACAAAGCTCAGCTCACAGTTAACACTCCATAGAAGTGGGTCGCCATTGACTATTGTCACCTCCCATCACAGGCACTGTCCGACCTTCACCTCCAGCTTCCAAACCTCAGAGAACTTCACACTGGATGTGAGCTTTGTGTTTACAGAGCAGGGTGATCTATTGTTGTTTGTTTTTGTGTTTTTCTGGCTCCAGCACGGAGCCACTTCAGGGCAAGAGTTGGGTCTAGCTGGTCTTGTTCAGAAAACATCCCCAGTTTCTGGCCTGTGCTGGCTGTAATGAGGAGCCAGTGTGACAGGAAGCCCTGGGCCCATCCTCACATAGGCCACAGACCAGTGGGGGACAGACTTACCCCAGACAGTGACGACCCACAGTGGTCAGGGCCGAAAAGCAGAATTATGCGTACCCAGAGCGACAGAAATAGCTCCAGACCCTCGCAGACATCTCCTTTGTTTCAGATGTTATTTTAAGTTTGCTACTTGCATTTACTCATTTAATTCTCAAACAAGCCTGTCCGTTAGTAGCCACCACCATGTGTGTTTATAGGTGACAGAACTAAGGCCCACAGAGGCCAAGTCACTTCTCAGTCTCATACAGTCAGCAAGTAGCAGAGTCAGTATTTGAACCCGGGACATCTGGCATAAACCTAGGCTCTGTTACCTCTCAACACACAGTGGCCAAAGGGCAAGGATGGGTGCTTGCGCATGTGGGGAGACGGAGGGCTGAGATGGAGCTGACCAAAGTCGGAGGATCTCACCTGCACGATGCAGTGAGTGAGCGGGTAGATGCCACTCAGGCCAGGGGTCCAAGCCACCTCCAGTTCCGTGGGCTGGCTGGAAACCAGATGAAGGTCTCGGGGCTGTTGGGGGAGTACTGTGGACAGATGAGGGGAGTGAGTGACCCTGGGGGGCTTTTGCCCAAAACTCCTCCCCCTGCCCTCTCCTTCCCACTCTGGCCCCAGGCCCCAGCCTCTCCCTCAGACACCCGCCTTCCAGGACCCCTTTCCATCACCTGTGATGGTGGCTGTGCGGGACGTGGTGACCCCCTTGGCATTGTGGGCTTCACAGGAGAAAGAAGATGTCTTGGTCAGGCCTAGGGAGTCATACAAGGGAGGAGCCAGTGTCAAGTGGGGGAAGGAGAGAGTTCTGTGCCCAGCTGGGCCACCCTATCATGCCCAGCAGGACCAATGTCAGGCCAGCCCATACTGGCATAAAGGGGGACTGTGGGGCACAAAGCGGACAATGAATTAGGAACAGACCCTGTCCCCAAATATATAGACAGACCTATAGGTTCAGCTCTACCCTTTCTCCACACATATAAGGCGTATACACAGAAAACACACACACACACACACACACACTCACACACACACACTCTGTTACATCCAGACACAAAGAGAGCTGCACAGAAACACTCACGTACAGACTCACCGTCTCAAACACATACAGACAAGCTGGGCGTGGTGGCACACTCCTGTAATCCCAGCAGTCAGGAGGCTGAGGCAGGAGAATCAAGGTGAGTTTGAGGCAAGCCTGGACTACAAAGTGAGTTCAAGGCCAACCTGAACTGCATAGTGAGACCCTGTCTCAAAAAGACAAAAACAAAAAAAAAAGAAAGAAAGAAACACAACTACACACATATTCAGACACACTGAGACATATACGCACACACAGTGAAACATGCAGACTCACACATGGGCTAAGAGACGCTTATGTTGACTTACATAGACACACAGAAGCACATACACCTAACAGACACACACCTACGGATTTGAGTGTGTGTCAAGGTGCAAGGGTTTGCACTTCCACCCAAATCTTCTCCTCCTAGTTCAGTCTATTCCCACCACACTGGCCTCTTGGTGTTTCTGGAACGCACACACGAGTGCACACACACACACACACACACACATGCGTGCAGCATGTTCCCAGCCTGGGAACTAAGCACTTCAGTGTCCTCTTTGGAACGGTCTTCCCACAGATGTCCCCCTGGCTCGCTCCCCCTCTGCGTGGTGGATCCTAACGACACCTCTGTTACGCTGTTCCCAACCACCCTGTGTAAAGTGCAGGCCTCTCGTTATCCGGCCGCTGTCCTGCTCTGCTTTTCCTCTGGCCTCTTCTCAGCAGCTGCGTCCTGCTTTCTGTGTGGCCCAGGTGTCCTGTTCACGTCGGTCTCCTCTACTAATGTCAGTGCCAGGGGACAAGAGTGTGTGTTGCTAAATGAGTGAATGAATGTGTGTGTATCTGTGTCCTCATGTGTGTTTCTGTGTGTGTAGAAATGTGAGCATGTGTAATTCCTTGAGCAAGCCAGTTACTGTCCGTGCCTTCAAGAACTGTTTTTGAGTGTATAGGATTTGGATTTCGTGTGTCAGTGTTTGCCTGTGCCTCTTGTGTTTGTCTTTGTACTTGTAAGCATGCACTTTTGTGTGTGTGTATGCGTGTGTGCTCCCATGCACCTGTGTCACTGCTGCCCTGAACGCACGCACAAAGGGGCATACAAGAGACAAATGCAAACACAAAGAGACACACAGCTCGCATGGCAGACACACAGCTCGCATGGCGGACACACAATGTGGCCATGACAGGATGCAAGGGGGACACTATGTGTGTGCGTGTGGTTGTGCACCTGTGGGCCCGGGCCCGTGGGCATCTGTGGCCGCCGCGTGCTTGTGCCATGTGGTATCTGCGTTCCCACCCCGTGGCTCACTCGGGAGGGCGGCCTTCACACGCAGCACACGCAGACACAAAGTTTCCTTTCCTCCGTCAGTCCGCGGCCCCAGAGCAGCGGGACAGGGAGAGTCGCCGAGGCCGGAAGGGGGAGGGCAGGGAGGCTCCGGCCTGGCCGGGCTGCGCCGTTCCCAGCCGAGGTCAGGTGCCTGCCCGCAGCCCCCGCGGGCCGGAACGAGGCAGCCCGGGCGGGCGGCCGAGCAGGCGGGCAGCTGGGTCGGGTCCAGCCACCTGGCACGTGGGGGCCCCGCCAGGGTCACCGCGCAGGAGCTGGCGCCGCGGGCCGGGCAGCCCAGGGCGGGGCGGGAGGGGGTTCTGGAGCCGGGTCCAGTTCCGACCGCAGCATTCCTGCCCCCGCGTGAGTCACCAGCGCCCCCCCACCCGGCACTTCCGGCCGGTGGAGCAGGCGGCCCGGACCCCCTTTTCCAGCCCCATCGGCTGCACCTTGGGTGAAGGGCAAGGGAGGGACCAAGGTGTGAGGGACTCCTTCTCTGCAGCGGGCTTTTGCCCCGAGACTGGAGCCTGCGGACTCCAGATGTGCTTTCCAGATGTTCTGCGCCACCCCACCCCCACTGGCTCCCCCTCCGAGCTTTTCCGAGGGAACAAGAGGGATAGAAGGAGAGAGGGCACGCCCTGAGTCAGATAGAGGGACAGACGCAAGAACGGACAGAATTCCTTCACAAGACACCCCCACACAATGAATCACATTTAAACACACAGGGATCCTTATTAGCACAAGTACGCACACAGAAAATGCACCTCTCATTAAGCTACATCAGACTCACAGGGCTGATGCTGTCCTAAACGCACAGTGACACAAATGCACAGTGACTAACTGGTAAACACACATGGGCCCACACTGGCGCACATACACAAAAAGACATACATGTGCACAGATGAGTCAGTGTTGAGACACACACAAAAACACAACCATTGTGCCGCAAACACCTGGCAACACAACAGACATTGGAAGTTGATGTTGACAAACCTCTCTGCATGCTGGGATACACACACCACTCAGCAAAAGCATGTTGACATTGAAGGGCGCAAAGAGGTACACACTGGGACACAGGAAAGGTAGTGTCGACTTGTTCTCACACAAACATATAAACACATAAACACACAGCCAAGCATTCCTCTGCACCAGAACAGCTGGACATGCTCAGGTCTACTGAACTTCATGTCTGCTGAGATGTGGACTGATACAAACAGACAATCACAAAGACACACAGGCCTGCTTTGGACACACAAAGAGGGAGACACTGCTAAGAACATATAGGTTGACACAGCTGTGCAGGTACATGGTGATTTGTGGGCTGATTCCTAGGGCCAACTACCAAGAGGCAGCCAAGGCTGACACACACACAGGGGGCAGGAGAACACAAAGAAACAGAAGATATTCTTACTGTCTCACTGTGAATCTTGGTCTCCTCTCTCACACACACACTGGGATCCAGGATTCCATGATGGCAGAAGTCACACACCAACACTCTTACCCAGTGACATATACACACACTACAGAGACATCCAGGGCTACACAGGCACACACAGTGGACATACCAACATCCATGGATGCATTCTGATTCCGTAAGGAAGAGGAGCCCATACCTGGACACACACTGTTAGGTGCACACCTGTGAGCTGACGTCATCACCTCCGTGTAGACAGAGGTGTGCGAAACAGCCACAAAACCCACCGTCACATCCCCTCCACTCTTACACAGTGTCAACCCCAACAGCATACAAATACCAAGACAGACAGATACAGCCTGACACTGTACACTCAGCGAGGTACACACAAACACAGACATTCACAAAGCTGACCCTTGCCAAGGCACACCTGCATACAGAGAGGTGGATGCTGATGGATACACAGACACACACTTTGTCTGAGCAGACACACACTTTGTCTGAGCAGACAAAGATGTACATCAAGAGCCCTCTGTGTGTGTCCCTCTATCACTGCACATCATGCACAGACTCTCTCATACCTGCACCCCTGTTTCTCCTCCTGCCCCTGCCCCTCTGCCGGGTCCTGCCAGGCCGACTCAAGCCCCATCCCTGCCCCTACCGGGCCACTGGAGCCACGGGCCTGAGTCACCCCTCTGGGAGCCAACGTGCTCATCACTGCTTCCTTGCACACTCAGGGGCCCCGGAATGCTGAGAATGTGGGCATGTCCCTCCACCCCAGGAGACTCCTCTTCCCCCCAGCAGAGGGGGGGCGCTAGATCAGGGCTTGGCAAACTGGGCTCTTCACAGTTCAGCAGCCTCCCCTGGCTGAGCGACCCCCGTCTATGTGCCTTTGTCTGTCCTCCTTCCATAAGGGAAAGCCTCATGTCCGGTCCAGGTGACCCTCAGTAAGGTGCTGGGTCTGTGTGGTACAGAAGGGAGGGCCGCCCTGATGGAGGGGCTTATATCACTCAGCCCTCCCTGTCTCATCTCTCTCAATCTTCGGTCCCTTCTGCGACCTGTCCCTTCTTGTGTCTCTCATTCTAACTCTCCATGATTGTTTTTCTCTGTCTCCTGCTTCTCCTTTCTTTCTTCTTTGGGCTATGACCCCCTTGACAGAGGCCAGCAGAACTCTTCATGGCAGGAGATGGCAGGCGGTGGGAGCAGGGGGCAGGAAAGGTTGGTTCCGGGGCCCCGTTTGGGTCAAGGTCTGACAAAGGGGCATCAGTCCCACACACACTTGGGCCACGGAACAGCTCAGAGAATGTTTGGGACAAAGAATGTTATTCAGACAGAGGCTGGGCTAAATGGAGGGAGAGAGAGAAGGAGAGACAGAGAGATGAGGTACAGGGAGAGAAAGCAATGGAGAGACAGAGAGATGGAGAACAGACAGCAGGAGACGGAGAAAAGCACATGGAGAGAAATAAGGAGAGAGACAGAGAGACTCACACAAAGAGGGCAGAAGGACAGAGGGACGCTCACACAGAGGCAGCAGGGAAGGGCCAAACGTCCACCTTGCCTGACCTTCCCCTCACACCTGGCCCAAATCCCAGACTCACCTGGAACTTGCAGGCTGTGCTGGAGGCTGTGTCCCGAGGAGAGGGCCAGGGGGACAGCGTCCTGGAGCCAGAGTAGGTGCACGGGTTCTGGTGGCCCCTGGGCCCTGCAGCTCAAGTTGAAGGGTGTGTTGGCCTCCACAGTCCTGTCTTCAGGCTCCTCCAGGAAGTAAGGCAGGCCTATGGAGAGGCTGGTGGTAGAGGCTGAGGTCCTCCCGAACCTTCCCACTGTGTGACCCATCCCTGGGATGCTGGAGGCTTTGGATACCAGACCAGTGCTGTTGGGTCTTTCTCTTTCCTCCCTTATGTCTGGTCCCCTAGACCTTTGACTCTCCTTTAGATGTCTGGCTCCTCAGACCTCTGTCCTCAGAACACACGACCCCAATATATGATTCCCCCCACCAGACCCTCCCAGCAGATCTGAGCCCCTCATGCCTCTTTTCCAAAATGGGTGCCTTGTCATCTCTTTTTACTGATGAGGACAGTGAGGTCTTTGAGGGGAGGAGAGAGAGGGTTAAGTCATTTGCCTTAAAAAAGAGCCCCCAAGATGTTTTTCCCTCAGGACATATAATGCCTTCTCCTCCTAATTATGGGCCCCTAACTTCCTGACTCCCTGACACCTCTGACATCCCTAGGTTATTTGTCTTCAGGGGATACCCTGAATCCCCTAGCACTCTGTAACTTCAGGACTCACCTTCCAGCCCTACATAGCCAGGCTGGGACACAAAGTTCTGTCCCCTCAGGTCCACGGCGCACTGGTACCACCCTGCATCCACAAGCTGCAGGGAGGAGATGCTAATGGGGCAAGAGGAGGGATGGAGAGGTTCTGGGTCAGAGCTGGACACTGGCAGGGGTCAGCAGAACTGAAAGAGGGGGACCAGGACTCACAGGAAGGATGAAGTTGGAACTATTTTTAACTGTTTACAGAAGATGAAAATGAAACACATGCCATAAACCCCAAGCTACATGCCAGCAAATGTTCAAGATGGGATCCCAACCCAGGCAAGGCTGAGTGAAGCGGGGAGCATGGACAGGGATGAAGAGCGGTTTGGGGTGTGGTTGGTCAGTGGGAAACTGGACACCTGAGTTGGCTGACCACTTTCCAGTCATCTTGCCAGTCTTCACCCAGGGGCACCTGGACCTGAGTGCTGTCTGCCAGCTCCAAGACCTGTCCATCCCGAAGCCAGTTCACTTCAGCGGGTTCCCCCTGAACCTTGAGCTCACACCGAAGGATCACCGTGATTCCCCTGGAACCGGTGATGTTCCCTGGGCTCTCCACGAAGGGGTCATCCACCTCAGCCTGTGCTCCTGCAGGGGAGATGGGACGAGGTTAGGAATCTCAATTTCCCCAGCTCCTCAACTCTACCCTGTCTCTGCCTGCCTACCAGCTGCCCAGACCCCACCAGGCTCTTAGGTCCACATAGTTGAAGAGTGACCTCAGAGAGGGGTAGAGGGCGGAGGCTTGGGGAGGATGGGAGTCTTCCCAGGGTTCAGAGCTCCAGCATCCGTCGTCCGTTGGGAAGTAGGCCCAAGATCTGGCAGCCTCCCACGCCCTGGATTGCCTGGCAGGGCCAGTGCCTGCCCTTAGGGTCTCTAGAGACTTAACAGATTGGGCTTGTGGATAGAAGGGAAGAAAAAGGATGGGAAAGACTGCAAAGAGGGAGACAGGGAGAGGAGAGGAGAGAGAGAAAGAGAGAGAGAGATAGACAGAGAGAGAGATGAGGTGAAAGAGAGGAACAGAGATAAGAGACAGACAGAAACGCCCCCTAAGAGGGGAATCAAGGGGCAGAGTCTCAGAGGGAGCCTGGAGGGGAGACTTAGAGAAGAGGGCTGGATAAAGACACAGACGGGGAGAGAAAGAGAGAAAGGAGCCCTGCAGAGATGTTAAGCAGGAGGTAGAGACAGAGACAAAGACAGAGACCCTCATTCTCAGAGATGGAGCAGACTGTGGTAAGAGCAGGACGGGGGCGCTGAGTGCGACAGGGAAACCCCGGGCTCCTGAGCACCCCTCATCCAGCCGGCCTGCCTGCCTGCCTGCCATGGGGCTCTTTTGGGGAAGGACCCCCGTCCCTGTCCTCAGGGCCCAGAATCCAGCCGAGCACCCACCCCACCCTCAGCGCCTCGCGCCTGTCTCGGTGTCCATCTCTTCCGTCTCTGTGTCCATCTCAGCTTCCGTTTCTGGTCCTTCTGCTCCTCTCCCTTTTGCTCTCCCTGCCCCTCGGAGTCTCCGTTTTTTCTGCTCTCCCTTTCTCTGTGTCCCCTCTGTTGTCCCAAGGAAAACCCTTAAGTCTGCCCAGCTCCCCCCAACACCTGCCATCCATCCCCCGCCTCCCCTCCTCGCTGTCCTTGTCCCTCCGTGGGTGGCCCTGCCCCCAAAGAGCCCCCATCACTCACCCTTGGGGGCCAAGCACCCCCAGCAGCACAGGGCCAAGCACCAGGCCAGCGGAACCCTGCCCATCCTCAGGCACCAGCGCACAGTCGATGCCAAACTTTTCTCCGAAGTTGCTGGGCACGTCGCGGGGGAGGGGGCAGGGCCAAGCTGTCCCTAGCCCTCCCCCCCAGCTCCAGGCGCCCCTGATTTGGCACTGCCTGCCTGGCACAGCGGGGGCCCCTTGGCCTGCTCTGCTTGCTCCTCCACAGCCACCTTCCCGGCTCCCCTGCCTCCCTCTCGCCCTCCTAGACTTCGGGCAACCCTTTCCCCGCCCAGGCTCCTTCTCCCTCTCTGCCTCCGCCCACCGGCCCGAGCCCCTGGGGCCACCTGGACAGCGAGGGGTTAACTCGGGGAGGGGAGGACCAGCCCTGTCTTAAAGGGACCTTGAAGGGAGGCTGGGGAGGGGGAAGGGGATCCCGGTGGCAGTGCCCGCTGTGCCAGAGGCTGTGTGCCTCTCTGTCAGGCTCGGGGCGCTGTCCCTCTGGGCTCTCTGGGTCTGGTAAACATTCTCCAGAACTCCACTCCCTTCCAGCCCATGCCGCGCCCCCCCCTCCCCGCCTCCACCCCCTGTCCAACCCCAGCCAGGCCTCCGGGGCCCTTTACTCCCCCTCACACTCAAGGCTCCTCAGACAAGGACACACACACACACACACACACACACACACACACACACACACTCAGTGTAGACACAGACAGAGGCTGGGACAAGCGGAGACACGCAGGGGCACGCTACCAGCCCACGGGCATCCTCAGACAAGCCGGGTCAGGAGCTGCCTCCTGGGGTAATCTCCACAATGGAAGTTCACTGCTGGATGGACGGCAGCGGCTGAGGGGAAGCACTTAGACTGGAGATACATAGATGCTCAGACGCACCAAAACCCACTAGGACACAGAAGCAGACACCAGTATATGGACTCACATCAAGAGGTCACCACTGCCCAGGGTTGTAACCCTCTCTCTGCTGATAAGGGCATCCCTGGCAAGTGACTGACTTCCCACTCGGGTCTCATCTGCAAGATGGGAGTAGGAGCAGATGGATCTGTCACAGGCTAGTGGGAGGAAGGTCTGGGTCAAAGTGTGTGCGGTTCCTCGCCTGTGGTAACCACAGCTGACAAGGTTCCTGTGAGGTTTGACATTTCACCTCTGTCTGTCCCTGCACTTCCCCTCTGCGCTCTCCCCGCGGGCCTGTGCATCCGGGTCCCTGCAGGCACGAAGAAGCCTGTGTGTTGGCTTGGCTGCGTGTCATTCCTGTGCCCCGAGAGTTTGGCTCGGGGAGCTCTGCGTGGAGAGTCTGTGCAGCAGGAAGCTGGTGTCCTCTCTCTGCTCCTGGCCATTTCTGTCTGGGTGTTGGTGTCCCGGAAGCTCATCACAGAGTCCTGCCCATGTGGCTTCCTGATGTTTCTGTGGTCCCTCCACTCTTGCCCCCTTTGACCCATGGCCCGGCTAACATCGAGAGAGATGTTGCTGAGACCGAATCTGACCCTGCCCTTGTGTGGCTGTAGCTCCTTACTGCCCTTCAGTTGATGCCTACGTCCTCAGCTGGCCACTTGGGGGCTGCTCCACTGGCCCTTCTGGACTCTCACTTGTGCCCCTCCTCAGTGATGGCCCCAGCATCCATCCTACTGCTCAGGCCCGAGTTTGGGGTCCTCCTGGAACTTGCAGTCGCCCCATGGTTCATTCAGTGTCACAGACCTCCCTCTCACCAGCCCCTTGCATGTCCCCACAGCATCAATATCACCCTGGTCCGGTCCCATCCTCTCCTGCCCAGACCCCAGCTCTGGCCTTATCCCTGGGCTGGGAGCCTGCACTCCTCCCTCCAAACTGTGTCCCACTCAGCAGTCAGAGGGATGTTTCCCCACCCCAAATCGAACCCTTCTCTCCTGTTCTGAACTTTTCAGGCAAAGCCCCAAGCCTTCTCTGAGGCCTACAAAGCCCCCTCATGTTCACATGACCCGACCCTCCCCTTCCTTGTTTTTTCTCTTTTTTATTTGTACCGGGAATCGAACTCAGGACCTTGTGCTTGCAAGGCAGGTGCTTGTGCCACTGAGCTATATCCCAGGCCTCCCCTTCCTTGTGTATCTTTCCTTTTCTCACCAGAAAAGCCTCCTCCCTGGTCAGAGACCTTCCTCCTGCAGCTGTTTGTCCCTAACTCCTACACAGTGGAGACCCATCTCCACTGTCCCATCACGTTGTATCACTGCCAGGCCACTTCCAGTCGCCTCCTAGGTCACCGTGTTGTTTATCCGCAACATCTTGTCCTTTTCTCTGGCATCACTTTGCATGGGTTGTCATTACAGAGCTATTGGCACCATTATGGGTCTCAAGTCTGTCTCCTCCTGCTGGGCTATGGGAGGCAAAGGACTGGGTTTATCTTGGTCACTGCTACATCTCTGCTATCCTATGAGACCTGCTGTAAAGGGACAATTAATAATTGTGGCATTTTGGGGTACAAGTATGTGTGAAAGCCTGCTCTCTTGTTTAGGTACGCTGGAGTTTCTGCCTACTTTAAGCTCAGCTGGATCTTTTGTGAACTAGAACCTGTGAACTCATTCACTCAAGAATTATTTGCTAAGCCTGGCTCAGTGGTGCATACCTGTAGTTACAGCTACTCAGGAAGCAGAGGCAGGAAGATCTCAAGTTCAAGGCCAGCCTGGGCATTTTAGTGAGACCTTGTCTTAAAAAAAAAAACAAAAACCAAAAAACCCAAAACTCAAAAACCAAATCAAACCAAACAAAACCTTGTCTCAAAATAAAATAGAAAAAAGGCCTAGAGGGTATAGCTCAGAGGTAGAGCACTTGCCCAGCATGTAACAGGTCTTGAGTTCGATCCCCACTACTAAAACAAACAAACAAAATCCCTATTTGCTGAGTACCTGCCATGTCCCTACAATTTACCAAGAATTTTTTTTTCTAGTTTTTTTGAGACAGAGTCACACTGTGTAGTCCAGGCTGTCCCTTAAACTCATGACAGTCCTCCTGCCTCAGTCTCCTAAGTGCTGGGATAGAGGTGGCCTAGAGATATATTTTTTTAAAAATGAAGCCAGATGTGTTGGTGCACCCCTGTAATCCCAGCACTGGGGGAAGCTGAAGCAGGAGGATTGCAAGTTTTGAGTCTTGCCTGGGGAGCTTAGCAAGACCCTGTCTCAAAACAAAAAATAAAAAGAGCTTGAGGGTGTAGCTCAGTGGCAGAGAAACCTTGCGTTTTGACCTTCAGTACCTAAATAAATAGGACAGGTAGATAGAAATGTCTATTGTGCTAGGGGCTGGGGCTTGTATAGTAGAACAAGTCCATGCCCGTGTGGAGTTCCCACTCTAAAGTGAAGAGAAACACTACAAAAATATGTGTCAGAATGTAATGGGCTTTGATGAAAAATAAAGCAGGAGAGGAAACAGCGAGGAGTGGAAGTGTTGTTTCAGACAGCACGGTTAGCGCAGGACTCTCCAAGGTTCTAAGGAAACTGGCAAGTGAGGCATGTGGCGGGGAGTACAGCCACCGCAAAAGCCCAGAAGTAGGCACGAGCTAGGCACGCTGAACTCTGGGGAGGTTGGATTGTGCCTGGAATGGATGGAGGTAGTAGTAGGGGCAGAGAGGGATCTGGTCTGGTGAAAACTTTGGACTTGATTTTGGGGTGGAAGCCACCGGTGGGCTTTGAGCAGGAGAGACATGACTTGGTTTTATTTACTTATTTGCTAATAAAGAAATGAAACCCAGGGCCTTGCACATGCTAGGCAAGGGCTGTCTGCCACTAAGCTACAGCCCCTCCTTACTTAGTCTGGTGTAAGGAGTCCTTCTGCTAAGGGCAGTAAGTGAAAGGTTGATTGAAGACTTCCCCACAGAGGGATCCGGACCTGGACACACCAGTCTCAGGTGTTACGACACATGGGACCACTAGGGGTTCAGTGCCTCGGGTGAGGAGCTTTTGCCAGAATGAGCCTGAATCTGATCTAGTTTCCAGTTTACAGGAGATTCTGGGGAGGAAGGACATCTCAAATGACACCACAAAGATGCCCTTGGCCACATCCAGATCACAAACAATTGTACAGGGTCAATAACCCGGCTTATTGAAGAAATAAATGGCACATAAAAGAATGGGAATGATTATAGATTTAAGAGACATATCAAATGACACTTGGATTCTGATTTGAACAAACTATGAAACATGAGATCATTAGATAAACATGTACACTGATATAACTCTTCACTGTGATAGTGAATCAGTAATGCATATTGTAAAAGCTGGGTGTGGTAGTGCATGCCTATAATCCCAACACTTTGGGAGGCTGAGGCAGGAAGACCGAAAGTTTGAGCTCAGTCTGGGAAATTTAGCAATGTAGTGAGACTCTGTCTCAAAAAAAAAGGCGGGGAATGTAGCTTTGTGTGAACGCCTTGGGTTCAACCTCCCAGTAATGCAAAAATAAAATAGAATGAAAAAGACAGTATTGAAGAAAACTTTGAGTTGGAAGTGTAGCTTAGTGGTAGAGCACATGGATAGAATGTGTGAGGCCCTGGGTTCCAACCCTGCAGCAAAAAGACAAAAAAAAAAAAAAAAAAAGAAAAGAAAAAAGGTAAACTTCACAGAGGAGTAACTGAGTGAGTTTTCCTGGGGAATGATGAAAGATTTTGGGTATAGACAGTGGTGACATGGGTATAGAACATTGTGAATGTTATTTAATGTCACAAAGTTGTACACTTATGATTGTATATTAGATTGATGCTGTGTATATTTTACCACAGATGCAAACATATCTGAAGGCCACACTAATTCTAAATATTTGTACTTTGGGGTATAATAATTCCTCTCAATCGTTGAAACCATGTGAGTTCATGTTTTTTACTGTCTACTAAAATCTTCCTGAGGGGCTGGGGATTTAGCTCAGCGGCAAAAGCACCTGCCTGGCAAGCACAAGGTCGTGAGTTCAGTTCCCCGTACCGGAGAAAAACAAACAAACAACAAAAAACAACAAAACAAAACAAAAATAAAATCTTCCTGATGTCAGTGGTTTTTTGTTTTTTCTTGTGGTGCCGGCAGTGGAACCCTGAGCCTCACCCAGCACAGGCAAGCGCTGTACCACTGAGTTGCACCCCCAGCTCCTCTCGTCAGTTTTTATACCAATTCAGTGCGAGATCCCTTTTTCTTTTCTTTTCTTTTCTTTTTTTTTTTTTTTCCGGTACCGGGAATCGAACTCATGACCTTGCACTTGCCAGGCAGGCGCTGTGCCGCTGAGCTAAATCCCCAGCCCCACGGTCCCTTTTCCTTTAAATAAGTTAATTTTTTTAAAAAAAAATTTCCATCTGCTTCCAAATTTCCCTGAATGTGATCTTTGAGTCCAAAGGAAAGCCAAGTCATTGCCTCAAATTTTTAACAGGAAAAAACCGTAAGCCTCATTCCTATTCACATCATTTGACATATAAAAAACTGTAATATGAAGTCCAAGAACTTAGCATGCATTTAGCTCATATTAGGTTCCAGAATTTTTCACATTTCTTATTTTTTGGTGGTGATGGGGATTAACTTCCCCTGCCCCTCCACATTTCTTACTTCTACTAAGGCTTTAAAATGGTAAATCCTCCACAAGATGTAATCAGGTGGCAAGTGGCAGTTAGGATTTAATTCCAGTCTCATCTTTTATTTTATTTTTTTTGGAGAAGGGATTATAGGTAGCTCTCAGGAGGCTGAGGTAGGAGGTAGGAAGATCACCCTGAGTTCAAGCCCAGGCTGGGCCACAAAGTGAGTTCAAAGCCAGCTTAAACTACATGAGACTATCTCAACAAAACACAAAACAAAACCAGAAATAAAAAGATGGCTTAGATGGGCACATGCCTGTAATCTCAGCACTCTGGAAGCGTGGGACAGGAGGACAGCAAATTTGAGCCCAGCTGGGGTAACCTAGTGACTTAGGAAGAGCCTATCTCAAAATAAAAAAAAAAAAATGTACAAAAAGGCTGGGGATGTAGCTCAGTGCAAAGGCCCTGGGTTTAATCCCCAGTTAAAAAAAAAAAAAAAAAAAAGAAATAAAAGAAAAGAAAAGAAAAAAAAGCAAGCAAGCAAGCAAGAAACAAAAAGCCTTTAGTTTGCTTGTGAAGGGAAGGCAGGAGGGAAGGGGTGGTGAAGGAGCCCAGAGAGGGGTCCGTATGCATGGACCTAGGATTGTAAGTATCTGCTTTCAGACTTGGAGAATCCCCAGGGTCTGAATCTGTTGGCTTCAGGCTTTCCCTGGGCCAAGCGGCCCCACTCCCAAGGATAGCCCCAGCTCTGCCCCTCCCGGCCCTCTCCGCTCAGCTCCACATCTGGTACTGATGTCAACAGCCAGGGTGGGTGGTAACCATGTTTTTCAACTCCCGCCCAGCCTCAGGGGAGGGGTGCACTCCCTCGTCCCCACCCCTTACTCACTGCGACAGACATGGTCACATATACACATGAGGCCGTGCCCTGGGGCAGACCAGGGGCCAGAAGCCAACTTTTATTGCAAAGTAAGGACCTTTATGTCATAAGGTCAGATCTGGCCTCTTCCCTTGCACTGGGCATTGGAACCTGGCCCTTACTTGGTCCTCCAGCCCTTCCGGGAGGTCAAGTAGGGACTTCAATACAGCACAGGGAGCTTGGGGCTGTATATATGTAGGGGGTGGGGACAGGTGCCTCCATCAGCACCGTTACCTAAGCAGGTGTGGGGCTGCGCTTCCTCTGGCCTGAGGGTCCCATGTCCAACGTTTGGGTATGCAACTGCAGATCAGGAGGTGCTTGTGTTTGGGAAAATTTGAGGAAAAAGGGTGCCTAGAAAGGGTGTCTCCGGGGGACCATGTCTCTATGGAGTGGCGTGTCTCAGTGGGAAGCCAAGGTGAGGCAGGACAGTGTCACGTGTGGGCTGGCTGCGTGGATCAGTGGCTGGGGGCTGTGGCTGGCAGTGCTCACAGGCTTGAAGGGTGGCGAGGACACGCAAGGGGTGCATGTTGGGGCCACAGACAGGGAGGGACAGTCCTTCCGACGGTGGCACGATGGAGCAGTCACACTGTTCTCTGTGGCAGATGTCCAGAGATAGTGGCACTGAGTCCAGTGGATGAAAGGGGCATGTGAGCTGTGAGCACAAGTGGGCTTGTTTGTGTGGCTCTGAAGGCGGCAGCTGGACCCCCCGTGTGGGTTAAGGGTACAGGGCGGTGTGTGGTGTATGGGTTGGTGGGTTACGTGGGCCCCTGCTTGTGGCTCCAGACACACTGCACTACACTGACGTCTGCAGAACGCTTACGCAGCAGTTGTAGCCCTCATGACTTTGTGGCTGTGTGTCACAGCAGCTGCGTGGGCCAACTGTCTGCGTGGCGCCTCTAGAAAACAGCTGCAGGTGTAACTGGGCTGCCTTTGGGGTGGCCCCGGGGCTCTGCACACACACCCTGTCCTCGTACACTGAGGCTGAGCATGTCCCTGGCCAGCTCCCGTCTCCCCACGCTCCCTCCTTCATCTGGTCTGCACAGGGGGATGGAGGTCGGCGGGCTGGACCTGCAGCTGGAAGGCTGGCGGGATGTTGAAGAGGCCGCTGACAGCTGGCTGGAGGCTCAGGGCGTCTGGCGGGCATGGGCTGTCCAGGGAAAAGGCTTGCAGGATGGTGGCGAAGAAGAGGAAGAGCTCTGCTTGTGCCAGCCCCTCTCCGAGGCAGATGCGCTTACCTGGGAAGGAGAGGGGGTGGGGTTGAACCTATGCTATGCACACCCAGGTCCTCGGGGGTGGTGGGGTGGGAATGGCAATAATAAACCCAGGGTACAGGGAGGGTGCCCCCAGCTGGCAGCAGTGGCTTTCCTAGCCAGGAACGCCGCCCTACCTAAGGAGTAGGGCAGGAATGCTTTGGGTTTCTTGAACCGTCCTTCCGTATCCAGGAAACGGCCTGGGTTGAACTCCTCTGGCTGTTCGAAGACTGCAGGGTCATGCAGGACAGAGCCAAGGAGAGGGAAGACCTCAGTGCCCTGAGGGAAATGATAAAACTGTGGTTCTTACCAGGCCAGGACACTTTGCGTGGGACAGCCAAGTAGCAGCCTGGAGGGCTAGGGACACCAGTTCGCAAAACAATGACATCAGCATTAACTGCTTACTGTGAATACATGCACATACTACCTTTGTGTAACAGGTACATGGTACATGTATCACACACACATACTTGCTTATGTGCACATCTGCACACACTCTAATTTTTTTTTTTTTCAATACTGGTGAATAAACCCAAGACTTTCATGCTGAGCTACAGTCCCAGACTTTTTTCTTTTTTTTTCTTTTTGAAACAGGATCTTATTAAGTTACTAAGTTGCCCAGGTTGGTTTTGGACTTCACATCCTCCTGCCTCAGCCTCCCAGAGTGCTGGAATTACAGGCATTCATCACTGTCTGTCTCATTAAATCTTTTGAACAAGTCTAGGAGGCAGGTACAAATATTATCCTAATTTTTAAAAACATTTTTTGCAGTGCTGGCGATAGAAACCAGGGTTTCATGCATCATATGCAAACACTCTACTGCTGAGCTACACCCCCAGGTTTTTTTTTTGGTTTTTTTGAGACAGGGTCTTGCTATGCAGTTTACACTGTCCTTGAGCTTACTTTGTAGCCCAGGCTAGTCTTGAATTCAGGGATGCTCCTGCCTCAGCCTCCCAGCCTCCTAAGTGCTGGGATTACAGGAGTGCGCCACCATGCCCGGTGGCCACCCCCAGTCTTTTTATTTATTTTTTGTCTTATTTTGAGATAGGATCTTGATAAGTTCCCCAGGCTGGCCTTGAACTTTTAATCTTCCTGCCTTAGCCTCCTGAGTTGCTAGAATTATTAAGGTGTGCAACTATGCCCAGTATATTACCCCCGTTTTAAAGATGAGGATGTTACACTGCTCTGGTGGGGCATGCGTGTAATCCCAGCACTTAGGAGGCTGAGGCAGGAGGATTGTGGTGAGTTCAAAAGTAGCCTGGCCTGCATAGTGAGATCATGTCTCAAAAAGTACAACAAAACAAAACAACAAAAAAGATGAGGAAACTATGACAAAGGTAACTATTTGTAGAATGGGACAGAACTCAGTATTTTTATACTTGGTTTTGAAACTCTGGGAGTATGCTGTGATTCAGCTGTGCCTATCCTCAGCCACCTCTCTGTGGAAAGTGTCAGAGTTCAGCTCTTTGCTGCTGTGGTCTGCTGAGGCGAAGCTGAGGGTGAGTAGGCAGGGCTGTCCACAAAGATTTCCTGGCTCAGATTCAGGGAGAGCAGCAGCTGTAGATCAGATCAAAGGTCCTTATCTCCTGGGGTTGTGGCTGGCAGCTGAGGACAGGTGAGGGAACAGGAGGAGGAAGGCAGATTTCTGTGCTAGGGAGTCTGGCTAATGGGATCTGAGTAGGGGAGGTGAGGGGCTCCAGGAACAGATAGTGCCATGTTAGTGTATTTGAAACAAAAGACAGGCAGATGGGAGTAGATAAAGCATAGATTCTGGGTTCAAATTCAGCCTCCCTCCTCACAGGCTGGGTGACCTCAAAAAGTCTCCTAATTTTGCTAAGATACACTGTAAGATAACACTTGTAAAACACCACCTCAGCTCTTGGTGGCTGGGTTATGGGGGGTGGTTCTATACACTGGGCAGCAGCAATATAATGATATTGAGAAGCCAGGTGTGGTGAAAGACACCTGTAATCCCATCACTCTGGGAGGCTGAGGCAGGAGGATCACAAGTTTGATGCTTCTGTGAAACGGGCCTGGTAAGTGGAGAGGGTTGCTTTGCTGGTGAAATAAGATAATACATACAGAAAACATTTAGACTAATCCTTGGGTGCTGGGCTTGATGGTGCATGCCTCCTGCAATCTCAGCACTCAGGTCGCTGAGGCAGGAGGATTGCTGAGTTCAAGGCCAGCTTGGGCTACAGAGTGAGTTCAAAGCTCACTATTAACTACAGAGCAAGACCCTGTCTCACAATGAGAAAGAAAGACAGAAAAGAATAATATTTGGGGCAGGTCCCCAAGCATTGATACCTTTTTTTTTGTAGTACTGGAAGGAGAACTTAGAGCCTTCACACTGAGCTACATCCCTACATCCCTAGCCCTTTATTATTTTGAGACAGGGTCTCACTAAGTTGCTAAGTTGCTCAAGCTAGGCTCAAACTTGTGATCCTCCTGCCTCAGCCTCCCAGAGTGATGGGATTACAGGTGTGCGCCACCACACCTGGCTTCTCAATGTCATTATATTGCTGCTGCCCAGTGTATAGAACGCCGTATGGACCCCGAGCCCCTCCACCCCCAACTCAGCCATTAAGAGCTGAGATGGTGTTTCACAAGCATTATCTTATAGTTCCACGATGATGCTACTACTGTTCCCAATTTAGAAGAGGGGTATTTTGAGGCTTATAGGATGAAGCAATTTGTCCAAGATTGCAGCCACAGTGGCTGGATTTTAACTGCTGTGGTTTGATTCTACAATTAAGAAGTAGCATGTATTAAGTGACCTCAGGACCTGGGCTATATCGCCCCCTGGTGGTGGTTTCTAGGTCTCAGCTTCTTTCCAGTGAAGGAGCCCGGACTCCAAAAGAGGTGGAGAAGGAGGGTAGGGGGCGGAGCGGAGGAGAGGGGAAGAAGGAGGGAAATGGACAAACCCTAGGTGTCTGCAGTAAAGTCTAACAGATGGACGGCAGAAAGAGATTATAATCAAGATATCCAAGCCTGTAATTCCGGCACTGGAAGATTGAGGCAGGATTGTAAATTTGAGTCCAACCTGGGCAATTTAGTGACTTAGTGAGACCCTGTCTCAAACAAACAAACACACAAACAAAGCAGGGCTGAGGATGTAGCTCAGTTCAAAGGAGGCCCTGGGTTCAATCCTCAGTACAAAAAAAAAAAAAAAAAAAAAAAAAAAAAAAAAAAAAAAAATTAAAGGGCCAGGGATATAGCTTAGCAGCAGCATGGTGCCTGCCTGGCAAGCACAAGGTCCTGAGTTCGATTCACCGTACCAAAAAAAAAAAATTTTTTTTTTTTAAATCAAGAAAAGCTGCTGGGCGTGGTGGTGCATGCCTGTAATCCCATTGCTCGGGAGGCTGAGGCAGGAGGATTGTTGCAAGTTCGAGACCAGTCTGGGCTATAAAGTGAGCTCACGGCTGGCCTGAACTGCACAGCGAGACCCTGTCTGTAAAAGACAAAAAAAAAAGAAAGAAAAGCTCAGATACACCAATAGCAATTGTCTTAGCAAATAACTGGGGTCCTGAGGCAGAGCCTTGGGCTTCGCCCATCCACATACCCACCTTGGGCAGCGTGTACCCTCGGAAGCAAGTGGTCCTTGTGATGATGTGGGGCATGCCCATGGGCACCAGTGCCAGCAATCGCTGTGCCTCGTGCAGAACTGCGTCTGTGAAAGGGAGGCGGGCCCGGTCCTGCAGGCTCGGCGCCTGGCCTTCGGGCAGCTCCCGCATCAGCTCCTCCCGTACCTGCTCTGCAAGCGAGAGGAGACTAGGGGTGAGGGGCTCTGACCCTCCCCTCAGCAGCCCCCCTTGTCTTGGGCAGCAGTGATTTGGGGTGAGGCTGACAGGGGTAGGCGCAGCCTCGGAGTCCTGGGGCCTGCACATTCTGTGTGCTGGGCTTTATAACTGTCCTCTTGGCCAGGCGTGGTGGCGCACGTCTGTAACCCCAGCACTCAGGAGGCTGAGGCAGGGGGATCGTTGCGAGTTCGAGGCCAGCCTGGGCTACAAAGTGAGCTCAAGACCAGCCTGAACTGCACAGCGAGACCCCGTCTCAAAAAAAAAAAGAAAAAAAAAAGTGATTTCATCTGTTCTCCTAATTCCACAGCAACTTGTATGATAGGCATCATTATCTATCTCCATTTCCCAGATGAGGAAACTGAGGCCCAGTGAGCCCCAGCTCGCTTGCCTAAAGTCACAGCTGATTCCACTGATACCACCTGGCCAGTCCATCCCACTGGCCGGCCTGCACTTAACACAGCTGTCTGACCCACAATGCATCAGCGCTCTTCCTAGCCCTGCCTCTTATCATACACCCTCCATTTCTGTGAGGACATTAATTTTTTTGTTCTTTCCAGTATTGAATCCAGGGACCTTTGCACTGAGCTACATCCCTATCCCCTTATTATTATTACTTTTTTTGTGACCAAGTCTTACTAAATGGCTGGGCCTGAACTTGAGAGCCTCCTGTCTCAGCTTCCCAGAGTGCTGGGATTATAGGTGTGCACCACAAGCCTGGCTGAGGACCCCAAATTTTGGTCTCGGGCCCTGACTTGACTGTCTTATGACTTCTGGGATTGCTTCCTGTGGCTGGCCCCAGGCCCTACTCAAATTATTCCAAAGTGGCCCAAGTGTCTCCCAGTTCTTTCCTCACTGCTCCTGCCCCATTCCAGGATCAGCCCACTGCTCCCAGCCAAAGATTTCAGCCTATCCGTGCCCATCTCCCCCTCTGGTCCTCTAAGACCTGACTATTCTGCTGCTTTTTCATCCTCACAGCTTGTCCAGCCCCGTCCTTTCTCTTTAGGTCCCTGTGCTCCTTCCTGGGCTCCTGGCACCTTTTCTCACTCTTTACAATTCCTCAGAGCAGCCCAAAGGATTTTAATAAAATCCAGATCTGACCCTGCAGTCTCCTTGCTCAAAATCCATCCACGGCTCCCCGTGGCTGAGGTCAGCGCATAATGTACTGCACCGAAGGGACAAGGCCCTGCAGCCACCTCCCGCCTGTCACCCGCTGAACCTCACATCACAACCGGCCACCCCCTGCCTCTTGCTGCTGATTCTCATTCTCATCGGATGCTGGGTCAGCCTGTCTGCTCTCGTAACTGCACCTCTCACTCCTGTCCCTGGGGCCTGGCCGGTGGGAAGGCTCTTACTCTGGACCTCAGGATATTTCAGAAGGAGCAGGAGGGCATAGCGGACAGTAGCACCAATTGTCATTGTCCCGGCAAACAAGAGGTAAGTGACCGTCATCAGCAAGTTCTTCTCAGTGAATTCCATGCTTGGGTTTTGTTCCTCCTGGAAGAAACCAGGCAGAGGGGCTCAGAGCACACAGCCTGCGGGAAGCAGAGGTGCAGGGGAAACAGTCTTGGGGGTGCAGAGTAGCAAGTTAAAAAGCTTCACCAGGGAGTTTAAATAAATGTTTTGGAAAAGTTGGTAGGCGGGCCCTTGATATTAATTTGCTCTGGTTAAAAGCTTTTTTTAAAAAATGAAAGAAATAAAGTATGAAATAAAAGACAGATAATAGGAAAGAAGAGAGGAAAAAAAAAAAATGAAAGTGAGCCCGGCATGGCGACACGTGCCGATAGTCCCAGCACTTGAGAGGCTGGGGCAGAAAGATCTTGCATTTGAGGCTAACCTGAACTACACTACAGCAACACCCTGTCTCAAAAGACCAAAACCGAATAATGAAAAACAAGAACAACCCAGAAAAGAATTAAACGCTGGTGAAGATGTGAAGAAACGGCAACCCTTGGGCACCAATGTATAGGGGTGCTGTTGTTGTGGAAAAAAAAGTATGGTAGCTTCTAAGAAAATTAAAGATACATGGTGCATGCCTGCAATCCCAGCTACCTGGGAAACTGAGGCAAGGAAATTGCAAGTTTGAGATCAGCTTGGGAAACTTGGCAAGACCCTATCTCAAAAGTAAAACAAGACTTGTAACACATGGAAAGGGTTGGGGATCAAGCTTAGCGGTAGAGTGCCCTGGGGTCCCTCCCCAGCACTGCAAAAGAAAATATTTTTAAAAATACAGTAACCATAAGGTCCAGCAACTCCGCTGTGTATGTACCTAATCAAAAGCAGGAGCTGGCTGTGGTGGCGCACGCCTGTAATCCCAGCACTTGGGAGTCTGAGGCAGGAGGATTGCTGGGAGTTTGGGGCAACCTGGGCTAAGTAGTGAGCTCAAGGCTGGCCTGAACTACCTGGTGATACCTTGTCCCCCAAAACCAAAAAACAATTAAAAGTAAGGACTCAAAAGATATTCGCTGTATACCTATGTTCATAGCAGAATTATTCACAATGGCCATGAGGCAGAAGCAACCTAAATATCCATTGAAGGATGGATACACAGAATATGGTGTGTCCGCGCCCCATAAGTCCATAAGACCCAACGAAAAAATAATCAGCCTTGAAAGCTAGAGATCAAAAATGCCAGTTCTAATCACCTTGCCTTACCTGTCATTACAGAGTGGCCACCCAGCCAGAGAGCAGTGAGGTATAATCTGCTGCTTGATACTGGTCATCCCCATAGTAATGACCAGTGCTTATTTTCCAGTTAGGTGTTATTTTCAGGGAAACAGGGTCCATACCAGGGAATACTATTCAGGCTTAAAAAGGAAGGAAATCCTGTCATATCCTAGAACCTTGAGGACACAGCACTAAGCGAAATAAGCCAGTCAGAAAAGGACAATATTGTATGATTCTACTTATATAAGATACCTACAGTGGTCAATTTCACAGATGAAAGCGGCAAAGTGACTGCTAACAGCTTCAAAGAGGTAGAAACAGGCAGCCTGGGCTAAGTAGTGAGTTCAAGGCCAGCCTGAACTACATGGCGATACCCTGTCTCCAAAAACCAAAGAACAATTAAAAGTAAGGACTCAAAAGATATTTGTTGTATACCTATGCTCATAGCAGAATTATGCACAATAATTGAATAATGAAAAACAAGATAAGAGAAAAAAAGTGATTTCATCTGTCCTAATTCAACAGCAACTTGTGTGACAGGCACCATTATCTATCTCCATTTTCCAAATGAGGAAACTGAAGCCCAGTGAGCCCCAGCTCGCTTGCCTAAAGTCACAGCTGATTCCACTGATACCACCTGGCCAGTCCATCCCACTGGCCGGCCTGCACTTAACACAGCTGTCTGACCCACAATGCATCAGGGCTCATTCCTAGCCCTGCCTCTTATCAGACACCCTCCCTGTTCTGTGAGGACATTAATTTTTTTGTTCTTTCCAGTATTGAATCCAGGGACCTTTGCACTGAGCTACATCCATGTTCCCTTATTATTATTACTTTTTTTGTGACCAAGTCTTACTAAATGTATAAATTGCTGAGGCTGGGCCTGAACTTGAGAGCCTCCTGTCTCAGCTTCCCAGAATGCTGGGATTATAGGTGTGTACCATAAGCCTGGCTGAGGACCCCAAATACCCTGTTTGTTAACGGGTATAAAGATTCAGTTCTTCAAGATGAAAAGAGTTCTAAAGCACACATGGGGGCACATGCATATTATCCAGAATTTAGGGAGGCTGAGGCAGGAGGATTGCAAGTTTGAGTCCTGCCTGGGCAATTTAGCAAGACCTTGTCTTAAAATTTAAAAAAAAAAAAAAAAAAAGGGCTGGAAATGTAGCTTAGTGATAAAGTGCCACTGAGGTCAAGCTCCAGTACTGTAAAAAAAAAGAAAAGTTTTGGAGATAACATAACAATATGAATGAGCTTAACACTAATGAACTATATACTTAAAAATGGTTAAGATGATAAATTTTATGTGTATTTTATTGCAATTAATATTTTATTGGGTTGGAGCCAGGTATGGTGGTACATGCCTGTAATCTCAGCACTTGGGAGGCTGAGACAGGAGGATTTCATATGAAGAGTTCGAGGTTAGCCTGGTATACATAGTGAATTCAAGGCCAGTCTGAACTACGTAGCAAGACCCAAAAAGCCATTAAATGAATAAATGATAGAGTGAAAGTTTTATTGGGTTGGAGGTGTAGCTCAGTGGTAGGGTGTGGCTTTGCATGCATGAGGCCCTACCCCGGTGTGGTGAAACAGAAGTTTTAAAAATGGCACCACCCTTCCCCATGCCCTGTACTGGTTGGAGCTGGGCATTCAACCTGGGGTCTCCCTCCTGCTAAGCATGTGCTCTACCACTGAGCTAATCCTCAGCCTAAAAACATGTTTCTTTAAAAAAAATGAAAGTATAGGGCCAGGGATGTAGCTCAGTGGCACAGTGCCTGCCTGGCAAATGCAAGGTCTTGAATTCCATTCCTGGTACAAAAAAAAAAAAAAAAAGTATAGTGGGCATGGTGGTATATGCCTATAATCCTAATACTCTGGGAGGATGAGGCAGGAGGATTGCAAATTTGATCCCAGCCCGGGCCATTTAGCAAAACCATGTCTCAAAATACAAAATAAAAAAGGGGTTGAGGATGTAGCTTGTTGCAAAGGTCCTGGGTTCAATCCCTACTACCAACAGAGAGAAAGAAAGAGAGAGAGGAAAAGAGAGAGAGAGAGAGAAAGAAAGAAATGGGGGCCACAGGGTTAAGAAAAAATTTTCCCTTTTCTCTTATAATAAGAAATTATTCTTATATAATTCATAAAGTAGACTTTATTACCATAATTTTAAATTGCAAGGCTTTTCAAATTACCTAATTGTAATTCACATCTAGGGTGGATGGGGAGACAAGCGGTAGGTGAGGTAAGTGACCATGAGACTCGCTGGCGGCAGGACCCTGGGCCCGGGGCCTGATTACAGGGGTGAGGAGGGAGGGAGGAAAGAAGAGCCAGGGAGTGAGATGCCAGCCCTTCAGGGCTTTCTGAGTGTGCCTGGGAGAGGCAGTAAGAGTATCCCATGGAAAGAGACCTAGAGAGGAAAGGCAGGACACACAGAAGACACGTGCACACACATGCAGACGGAGAAAGAGACCTGGTCAAGATGTCCAGATACACTTGGCCCCAGGGCCACCAGCCCCACCCAAGAGGGACCACCAGTCAGGCCACCAGCCCCACCCAAGAGGGACCCGCGTAGCCTCCCCCAGCCTTCCCTACCTGTGCCATCTTCAGCAGGAAGGCATCCACAAGGTCACGTGCAGGTCTTGAGGTTTCCAGGTTGCCCCGGTGCTGCTGCACCTGCCGGGTGGTGAAGGTGGCCAGGGTGCCCAAGTGGCGGAGGAGCTGTGTGTGGGGGCCGGGCAGCGGCTTCAGGAGCCAGGAGAACATCTCGTAGGTCTGCACGGGGAAACACTGTTGGTTTTCAAGGGGCTTGGCAGGAGCTTTTGAGGAAGGTGGCCAGAGAGGGGCCCCACCCATCTACCTGGCCCCACGGGGAGCTGATCCCCAGCAAGGTACCACCAGCTGCCCGGATCACAGCCTGGAACTCCTCATCCTCGTAGGAGAAGCGGAGGTCAAAGAGGAGCAAACAGATGATGTTGGAGGTGGCCTGGGACAGCAGCAGGGAGGGATCAAACGGACGTCCTGCGGGGAAGGAACGAGGGAGAAGGCTGTGGGCATGCAGAGGGAAGCTGGCGTGGAGCAGACGCAGGGACAGAGTGGACACTGGACTCAACCAGAGAGAGACAGGTGTGCACAGACCCACTGACAAGACGGATGGATGGACAGTGAGCTGAAAGGAGGAGACACATGGACAGATCAACAGTGATACAGACAGGGACAGATAGGCAGCGATAAAGACAGAGTCAGAAGCAGGCAGGCAGGGAAGGAAGATGAACAGACGAGGTCAGACAGAAAAAAGGAGGGAAAGAAGAAAAGCAGAAACAGGCATGGGGCTGGGGGTTCAGCTCAGTGGTGCAGCGCCTGCCTGGCAAGTGTGAGGTCCTGGGTTGGATTCCCAGTGCACCCACCCACTAAAAAGAAAAAGAAAAAAAACAACCAAGAAATGAGCGTGGTGGTGCACAGCTGTAACCCCAGTACTCTCTGGGAGGCAGAGGCAGGAGAACCACAATTTTCAAGCCCAACTTGGGCAAATCAGTGACTTATAGAAACCCTGAAATAAGATATAGAAGAAATAAGATATAGAAATAAGATATAGAAGAATTCTGGGGATGTGTCTCAGGGCAAAGGCCCTGACTCAATCTCTACTACCACAAAACAAAACAAAACAAAACAGGCTGAGAGACCTGGATGCTGGAGGATGGCAGGAACATGACAGAGACAGAGACAGGGACAGAGGGTGGAGGTGAGCAAAGCCCCCAGCCCACGCCTAGGGCCCCAGGCTTCCCCTCCCGAACGTTCCATGCGCTGGGCTGGACCCCTCCCCCAGGCACAGCGGCCGGCCCCGCCCTGCTGACCTTTCGTCCCCTGGAACGCCTCCACCAGTCGCTGGACTTCCGCCTGGATCAGCTCCTCGCCTTCTCGCTTCCCCATGCCCAGGTCCCGCAGAGCCAGCACGGTGAACTTCCTCAGCTGCCTCCACCGCTCCCCGTTGGCAAAGAAAACCCCTGCGCAGAAAGCTGGACTCAAGGAGAGACTGGTTCCTCCCTCCTAATGAGGTGTCCTGAGTCCATACCTGCCTGGCCCAGGGAAGAGGACTCACTAGATGCTCAGTAAAGACATAATTGAACCGGTTCCTCCATCCTTTGTCTTTGGATTAGAGGGGGGCATTCTCCTGGGCAGGAGAGACTTCATGGCTCCTGCTGTGATTAACCAGGATGGGCGAAGAGTCACTCCTTTCTCCACCCGTCTGCCCCTTAATCCCTCTTTTCTTTCCCTCCCATCCGCCTACCTCAGCATTTATGGAGCACCGCTGCCTCACAGTTGGAAATACGAACAGAGGGAAGAGGCTGACACGGCACTGTTTTCCTTCTTTATTCAAGACACTTGCTCTGGACAGATCTTCCCCTTCTCTGAGCTCTCAGTGTTCCTGCCTCTTGAGTGACAGCCCGCAGTGGCCCCTGGACATTTCCTGCTGGTGTCCCCGGCCCCCTTTGGCCCAAACTGGCCTCAGTGCCTCACCTCTTCCCATCTCAGTCCACCATCCATCTCCTGGTCCCGGGTTCTGTCCCACTACCCCATCCATGCCCTGGCACCTGCACAGGCCCAGCTGGTCCCCTTCCTGGGGTCTCAGCATTCAGTTTTGTCCCCTGTATAGCACCTAGAGGATCTTTCCAACTCTGCCTATAGCCTGCTTAAAATCCACAGCTCCAGCTTGGTGTGGCAGCCCACACCTCTAACCCCAGAGCCTAGGAGGCTGAGATAGGAGGATCGAAAGTGACTGCAACTTAGTGACTCAGAGGGGCCCTGTATCAAATTTTAAAATAATGAAGGTTTTGGTGATATAGTTCAGTGCAAAGGCCCTGGGTTCAATCTCCGGTACAAGCCCCCCCAACAAACAAACAGGTTCCCAGGAAAACCAAAGACCAAACCAGGGGCCTGCTGACTTATTGGTTTTATTACTCATCTGCTACAACTGCAGCGGCTTCCTCTTACTTCCTCTAAGGTGTCATGACCCTTCCCCCAGGCCTGTGTCCCTGCTGTCCTCGTGCCTGCATTACTCATGAACCTGTCCTTGATGAACTGACTCCACACACCCTTCAAGTTTCAGCTCAAACGGCCCCTCCTCTGAGAAGCCCTCCCTGAACCCCCTCTACCACCAGTATAGGTCCCTGTGTCCGCTGTCATTGTAGAATTCTGTTCCCTCCCTCTGCTGTGTTACTACAAGGCCCCTGTCCCACAGTGAGAAGACACTGTATCTGACTGCTCACCCGTGTCCCAGGACCCAGCAGAGGACCAGGCATAATGAGATTGTCAGCTGTATATACAGGATAGTTACCACAACTGAACTACTGTCTTCTATTTCTTTGCTGAAAGAAACAGTTAATGATTCCTTGATTGATCAATGTTGCATGTCTCTATTTGTTTTCCTGAGAAACCACTTTGAAGATATCAATATGTACTACAACAAGCATTGTTAGTTTCCTACCACTTTGTCTGTAACTTTGTATTGTTTGTTCTTTTGCTGTTTTGTAAATAGTTGTCTGTTTGTTAATGTTTTCCTTCTTTTATTTAAAAAAAAAAGAAAAAGAGATTGTCAGCTGAGTGGATGAACACGTCTTCTCCCACCCCCTTCTGCTTTTGTATGCACTGCTCTTGCTGCTGGGAATGCCCTTCCCAGACACCCTGAGTCTCCGCTCAGACACTGTCTCTTCCAGGCAGGCTTTCTAGACGTTCCGCTCCAAACATGCTGGGGCAGGAGTGTCTCTGCAGTTCCAGGGACTCCCCCATGCTGGTCTGTGCCTTCCTGTCCTGGTGGACCTCTCTGCACTGTCACTGTCTGGTGCAGATCTAGCTTCCCACTAGCCTGCAGGCCCCAGAGGAGCACGACAGGGCTGCCTTCGTCACTGCTGTGCTGCTGGCAGAGGAAGCCACGGGCTGCTGCTTTCTGTGTCCCAGAGAAGGATGTGTACATTCTTGAGGTGCTTGCTTATTGGTTCCCCAAGCCTTGCTTCACCTGCATCGGTGATTGTCACCACTGATAAAGCCTGGCAACTAGTACGTGCACGGGCCCCACCCTCATTCCATCGTTAGTACAACCCTATGTGATAGGCCTAAGTCTTAGCCCATTTTCTAGACAAGGAAGCTGCGTGATTAAGTGCGAAAGTCACATACCTGCGAGTGCCTGCAGGACCCAGCAGTTCCCACCTCCTCCCGGGACTTACCATGACCGTTAAAAGTCTGGTCCAGCGTAGCCAAGGTTCCTCGCCCACTGAAGTCCTCAGCCTGATCTCCCAAGGCCTCCTGCACAGCCTTGTGCCCAACCAGGACGACCACGCGCCGCCAGGGGCCCAGGTGCACGGTGAACACCGGCCCGTACTTCTTACTCAGCTGTGGGCAGGGAGGGAGCAAGGGGCGGGCGGCTGCTGTGGGGCTGGGGGCTGCCCCTGGCCCCTGATGAGTCATCTGGTCTGGCTTCTTTCTCCTCTACCATCTTCCCCTCAAACAGAAATAGACCCCCTGGCTGCTCTTGAACTTGACATCCTCCATCCTCAGACCGGCAGAGTACTGGGATGGCACACATGAGCCACCATACCTGGCTGCGGAATAGATCGTTTGGAGGCTCGGTTCTTTTTGCACCCGGCTCCCAGGCCCCCTCCCCAAACGCATCCTCCAGTCCCCATCCCTGTTCTTCTGCCCAGGCCTTATCTTCTTGCCCCAGAACAATCCAGGGCCAACTTTGGTCTCTCATGATTCATCCCTCTTCCTCCCAAGTCCGGCCCCCTCCCCAGTCCCTGCTAAAACTCTCAGATTCTAGAGCGGATACTGCTGAGCATCTGTGCCCTCTCTCCCCAAGACGCCTACCCCTTCCTATGCCCTTAAAGTTTCTCAGAATCTTTTAAAATGGGGATCCTCTTTCCACCCCCATGCACGCATGTTGGCAGGCCTCCCTTTCCAGGAATGACCAGCTCCCTTCCAGCTATGCTACACCCACCCTCCCACAGCCATTCTTCCAGCCTCCGCCAGCTGGACTTGCGCCTCCCAGAACCCTCAAGCCTCCAGCCTCTTCTCAGCCTCCACCGCCCCCAGCACCGCTAGGCCTTTCTTCTTTGTCCCCTCTCCCTGGGTCAAGCCCACTAAACACCAGCGACTCATGGCCTTGAGGGCCCCTGTTTCTCAGCTTTGGTCCCCGTCCACTACTTTCCCAGCACCGAGGGCTCCCCCCCACCCCCATGGGACCCCCTGACCCTCCGGACCCTGCTTCCTGCTCTCACCACCTCCCCAGGACGGTGCCGGCTCTGCCACTCCCGAGCCCTGGTCCCCTAGCCCGGGATCCTTTCTCCAGCGCGTCTCTCGCCTTCTCAGCCTGGACAATCTGCTCCTGACCCCAGCCCTGGGCACTTCGCTCCTTCTGCCCCGGAGCCCCTGCCCGCCTCCTTCCTAGGGTCCCCGACGGGCTCTGTGACCCCTCTCCCCTGCCGTTCGGGCTCCTCTCCAAGGCACCCACGCCGCTCGCCCGGACGTCCCGCGGTCCCTCACCCGCAGCAGCCCGGAGTACAGCGCCCCGGGTCGCAGCTGCAGGAGGTTCCCCAGCAGCGGCAGCACCGCGGGCCCCGGGGGCAGGTGGCCTCCGGCCCGGCTCGCGGGCAGCAGCAGGCTCAGCAGGAGTAGCAGCAGGACGAGCAGCAGCGCCCAGGTGCCGGCCGCCTCCATCTCCGCAGATCGGTGCCTTCTGCTCGGGCTCACGCTGCTGGGGGCGGGCGGGTTAAGGGCGGGCGCCGGGCGGGTCCCTCCGCGGAGAAATCCGGCGGAGGGCGGGGCAGCCCGATCCCCTCGCCTACAGGCTGGCGGCTCCCCCACGGCCGCCGTCTGGGGTCGGGGACACGCGCACCGCACCGGTCGCTCCGCAGGGCACCCAGGCTTTCCCGGGCTCAGGGGTGGGGTGAGTGGGGGGCGGAGACAGCGCCTGGGGCCCCAGGTAGGGCGTAAGCAAACAGGAGCAACCTGGGAGCCGGAGGCTCGGGCTGCCGGCAGCCGCCACACCTCGGCCGGGCTGTGACCCCGCGCAGCCCCCTCGCTTCCACCTCCCTCCTCGCTGTTATCGGGGTGTGCGTGCGTGCGTGTGTGCATGTGCGGAGCCGGAGCCAGTCCCCTCCCGCAGCTTATCTCCGCGACCGAGAAGGAGGAACTTGGCCTTTAAGAACAAGGAATCTGAGGTCCAGAGGTAAATCGGTTGGCCCTCCCTACGTCAAAGGCGAGGTGGCAGAACTAGGGTTTGGACGCAAGCCTTTCACTCAGTCACTTAGAGCTTGCACATTGGTCAGGAACAGGAGGGGTGAAGCCAGACTACTTGAGTTCACAGCTTACCTTTCCTGAGCCCGCTGAGCACTTTTGTGCAATAGCGCTAGTTTCCAGGATTAGACAGGTACACATAGCTGGGCGTGGTGGTGCACACCTGTCAGCCCAGCGCTCCGGAAGGCAGCAGCTGGAGGACTGTAAGTTCCAGTCCAGTTTAGGCAGTTTAAGAGTTAGAGAACCCGTTTCTAAATAAAACATCAAAAGGGGCTGGGCATTTAGCTCAGCGCAAAGGGTTTGGGATCAGTCCCCAGTACCATACACAGACACACCTGCTGTCACCTGCACACAGTTTAAAACAGGATGAGCTGCCTCTGTAAAAATTACTAAATGTTAGCCAATATTTCTACAACTAATTGTTATTGAGGTCTAACTTAATAACAAGTCTGTTCTAGAGCTAAGGATGCAGCTATGCACAATGCAGAGAAGAAACCAGTCCTCCTTGACCTCAGAGCCACATGTAAATGAACTTGAAATTAGATAATTTTAGGAAGTACTAAGGCCCTCTGGGGGAACGGGCTTGTTGCGGAAGAAGGCAGCTTGTCAGATCTGCACAAGGCAACGATTATTGCTTGGTTTGGATCACTGCTGTAACCCTGGCATCTGGCACAGTGTCTGACACGCAGCAGGTAGTTAATATACGTATTTGTTGCCTCAAAGATTGTATGCAGAAGGTAAGATGAGGGAGGTCCCCAGGGACTGTTTTATTACAAGAGTCTACATTTTATTTCTAGTGCAAAGGAAACCCTTTGGAGGTTTCCCAGCAGGGCAGTCGCTTACTTTGGTTTGTATTTTCTGTAAGATTCTTAAAAACTTTTTTCTTATTGGTACATTTTAGATACACATAATGATAATGTTCATCATAGGGAATTTGTACTTGTACACGATATAGCTTGCTGCTTCTTTTTCTCCCATTTCCCTCCCCTCTCTTCAACCCTTCTTCCTCTCTTTATTTACAAAAGCTTGGTTTCCATGTTTTCCTTCTACTCTCTTTTTTTCCCTCATCCCTTTTTTCCTTTCCCATGGACTCCTTCCCTTGTTCCCTTTCTCGTGTGAACATTTTCTTCCCATTACCCAGTAATGGTCTTATTCACACTTTTGGTTTCTCACACCAGAGAAACAATGTGGTATTTATACATGTGTGTCCGATTTATTTCATTTGAGTATGGTCTCAAGGTATATCCATTTAGCTAGAAATGTCAAACTTATCCTTCTTTATGCCACAGTAGTACTCCATTGTGTAAAAAAACCACATCTTCTTTATCCATTCATCATTTGATGGGCATTTGGGATATTTCCAAGATTCAGCTGTTACAAACTGTGCCACTATAAACGTGGGTGGTATGCATATGTCACTGTAGTACAATGCTTTTAATTCTTTCAGGAAGATACCAAGATGGGGAATAGCTAGGTCAAATGGAACCTTCAAGTCCTAGGTTTTAGAGGAATCTCCACACTGATTTCCACAGTGCTTGCACCAGTCTACAGTCCCTCCAACAGGGGAGAAGCGTTCCTTTTTTCTTGCTGCTCCACCAGTATTTGTTATTGGTTTACTTCTTGATGACAGCCATTCTTTCTGGAGTGAGATAGAATCTCAGTGTTCTTTTAACTTGCATCTCTTGAATGACCAGTGATGTTGAACATTTTTTTCACATATTTGTTTGGTATTTGAACTTTTGCATGTGAGAAATGTCTATTCATTTCAGATGCCCATTTTTAGGTTGGTTTTTAAATTTGGAGAGTTTTGAATTTTTTTAGTTATTTATATATTCTAGGTATTAGTCCTTTGTCTAAGGAACAGCTGGCAAAAATTTTTATCCACACGTTAGATTGTCTTTTCACTCTGTTGGTGGTTTCTCTTGCTGTGCAAAAGCTTTTTAATGAGATGAAATCCCAGTTGTTGATTCTTTGTGATAATTCTTGTGTGATTGGGGTTTGTTCATAAAGTCTTTGCCTACACTAATGTCTTCAAGAGTTCTACCTATTCTATCTTCCAGTGGATTTGGTGTTTCTGTTTTAATATTTAGATCTTTGATCCATTTTGATTTTAGTTTAGTGCATAATGAAAGATATGGTTCTAGTTTTAATACTAGACAAGAGGAAAGCAAATTTTTCCAGCACCACTTATTAAAGGGGCTATCTTTCTTCCAGTGAAGGTGTTTGACTCCTTTTTCCAGATAACGTGACTTAGTATGTCTGGAGTTGTTTCTGCATCTTCTAGTTTTTTCTCTGATCCTCAGGTCTGCTTTTTTTCCCCCAGTACCATACTGTTTTCATCACAGTATAATTTCAAGTCAGGGTTTGTGATGACCCTTGCCTTGCCTTTGTTGCACAGAATTGCTTTTGCCATTCTAGGTTTCTTCTGGTTCAAAGTGAATTTTAGATTGTTTTCTCTCATTCTATGAGGTATGCTAATGGTATTTTGATTGGGATTACATTAAATCTATATAACAATTTTGGGAGTATGATTATTTTCACTGTATTGGTTCCTCCTACCCAAGAACAAGGGCTATCTTTCCATTTTCTGATATCTTCTTAGATTTCCTTTTTCAGAGTACTATAATTTTCAGTGTAGAGATCTTGTTATAGTTTGGGTCTAGACGTACCTCCAAGGCCTCATGCACTTTTAGATGGCCCTTTTTCAGAGTTAGTTGAGTCTAGAGGGTGTGATTGATTGGTGTTTGAATGCTACGATTTGGGTTGCTAGGATTAGGGGTGAGTGATTGTTGGATCAGTTCACTGATTGGTTTTGAACTGCTCTAATCCCAGTAGCCTGGATAGAGTATAAAAGGGGCACAAAGATGTTGTTATGTTTCAGTTATTGTTGTTTTTTTGTTTTTTGTTTTTCTTCTGGTACCAGGAATACGAACTCGCGACCTTGCGCTTGCCAGGCAGGCACTTTGCCACTGAGCTAAATCCCCAGTCCCTATGTTTCAGTTATTGATTTTGCTGTCTTCTGCGGCCATGAATGGTTGCCCCTCTGTCATGTGCCACCCTGCCTTGGAGTCAGTCAACTATGGACTGAAACCTCTGCAAACTGTGAGTTAAATGAACTTTTTCTTCCTTTAACTTTGGGTGTTGGGCGTTTTGTCTTAGCAACAAAAGTATCTAAGACAGGTCATTTACTTCCTTCATTAGATTTATTCATAGGTATTTCATTTTTTTGGGTGCTGTTGTGAAAAGTGTTGCTTTCCTAATTTTTCTCTCAGTGAGTTTGTTATTTGTGTACAGGAAGGCTGTTGATTTTTGAGTGTTGACTTTGTATCTAGCTATTTGACTGAATTTGATTATTAAAACTAGAAGTCTTTTGGTGGAGTTTTTGGGGTCTTCTATAGGGTGTCATGTCATCTGCAAATAATGATAATTTAACTTCTTCCTTTCCTGTCCTTATTCCTTTTATTTCTTTCTCTTGTCTCATTGCTCAGGCTAATGTTTCCAGTGCTATCTTGAATAAGAGTGGTGTGAGTGGACATCCTTGTCTTGTGCCTGATTTTAGAGTGAACTCTTTCAGTTTTTGTCTATTTAGTATGATGTTGGCAGTTGGTTTGTCATAGATGGCTTTTATCAGATTGAGATAAAAACAATTTATTCCAGTTTTCTGTAGGATTTTTAATCATGAATGCATGTTGGACTTTGTCAAACACTTTTTCTGCATCGAGATGATCATTTTGGCTTTTGTCTTTGGCTCTATTAATGTGGTATATTCCATATATTGATTTGCATATGTTGAACCATCCCTGTATCCCTGAGATGAATCCTACTTGAGCATGAGGTTTAATCTTTTTGATGATTTGCTGCATTTTGTTTGCCAGTATCTTTTCTGTTGGTTGGTTTTTTTGAGACAGGGTCTTGCTATGTAGTTCAGGCTGGCCTTGAACTCATGGCAGTCTTGCCTCAACCTCCCAAGTGCTGGGATCACAGGCATGAGCCACCATATCTGGCTTTGTTTGCCAATATCTTATTGAGGATTTTGGTGTCTATGTTCATTAGGGAGATTGGGTTGTAGTTCTCTTTTTTGGTTGGCTTGTTCTCTGATTTTGGTAATAGGATAATGGTTGCGTTAGGGAATGAATTTAGGAGCGTTGCTTCCCTTCTCATGTAATTAAAGAATTTGAGGAGTAGTGACATTAGATGTTGTCTAAAGTTGTAGAATTCAGCAATGAGTTTGTCAGGACCTGAGCCTTTCTTTGTTGGTAGGTTTTTAATTACATCTTCAATTTCATTGATTGATATTAGTACATTTAGAATTTTTATATCTTCTTGAATCAGCTTTGGTAATTCACATGTACCTAGGAATCTGTCCATTTCTTCTGCATTTTCTATTTTATTAGAATACAGGTTCTCAAAGTAGGAATTGATGCTCTTCCGGATTTCTGCAGGATCTGGTGTGATTTCACCCGTTTCTTTCCTAATTACATAGATTTGAGTCTTTTTTCCCCTTTTTTTGGATAAGTTGGCTAAGGGTTTGTCAATTTTATTTAACCTTTCAAAGAATTAACTCTTCAATTTTTTTGATTCTTTGTATTGTTTTCTTAGTCTCCATTGCATTAGTTTCTTTTCTGATCTTTATAATTTTCTCCCTTGTATGAGCTTTGAGCTTGACTTGCTCTTCTTTTTCTAGATGCTTGAGGTTCAAAATTAGATTGTTTATTTGACCTCGCTGTGTTTTTCTGATATGGGAATTTACCAATATAAATTTCCCTCCTAGGACTGCTTTCATTGTGTCCCATAAGTTCCAGTGTGTTGTACTGGCATTATCATTTAGTTGTAGAAACTGTTTAATTTCATCTCTGACCCACTGTTTGTTCAGGAGGGTGTTATTTAATTTCCATATATTTATGAAGTTCTTGTGGTTTCTTTTACCATTGA